CCCCCCACGGCTACCCTCCTGTGGGGATGATCCCCCCACAGAGGACCTCGCGTGGGGGTGTTCCCCCCACGGACCAGGTCGCACGTGGGGAGGTGACCCCCACAGACGACCTCATGTGGGGGTCACCCCCCCACAGATCAGACCATCCGTGGGGGGATGCCCCCCACGGCTACCCTCCTGTGGGGATGATCCCCCCACAGATGACCTCGCGTGGGGGTGTTCCCCCCACGGACCAGGTCGCCCGTGGGGAGGTGACCCCCACGGGCGGCCTCATGTGGGGGTCACCCCCCCACAGATCATATCATCCGTGGGGGGATGTCCCCCACGGCTACCCTCCTGTGGGGAGGATCCCCCCACGGCTGACCTCGCGTGGGGGTGTCCCCCCCACGGACCAGGTCACCCGTGGGGATCTGCTTCCCACGGGTGGTATCATGTGGGGGTGCTCTCCCCTGTCAGTGGGAGGGGCCCCCCACGGCTGCCCTCCTCTGGGGATGCTCGCCCCGCGGATGGCATCGAGCGGGGGACGAGTCCAACCAGCAGATGAGAGTTGTACACCCGCCCCAGGACCATACCAATACAGTCCAAGATGTGCCAGCAACTATACGCGAGTACCCCTATATGCCCAACGGTGCAGTGTTTATTCAATGGTCATGACCTGCTTACCGACATACGAACCTCGATATAGCTGCATGTATGCCTTGTTGTTGGTTCGGGGTGGTGCGGGTACGTATGTATGCATACAATGTATGTGTGTACATATATGCCTATGTATATGTGTATACATATGTGTGCATGTACATATGTAAGAGGTACAAGCATACAAGATGTTACCGGCTCGCTGCGCTTCGCCTTTACCATCGTAGGTCACATGGGGTTCGCAGGGCTCAGAGAGCTCATAAGGCACCGAGAACTCATATGACTGATATGGTTCACACGGCTCATAGGACTCACAGGGCTCATAGGGTTCATATGGGTCGTAGGGCTAGGGCTCGTAGGGCTCATAGGGCTCATAGGGCTCATATGGGCTCATATGGCTCATCGGGCTCGTAGGGCTCGTAGGGCTCATAGGGCTCATATGACTCACAGGGTTCATATGCCTCGTATGGATAATAGGGCTAGTAGGGCTCAGGGTGTATGCTTTTGGGGTCTCTGTTTGATTTGCTTCGGGGCTGACATTGGCAGAACGTCTCATGGAATCTCTTTGTTTGGGGGTCTCTGTTGGATTGGCTTTTGAATGCTCGTAGGGCTCGTAGGGTCCATAGGGCTTATAGAGCTCACAGGGCTCATGAGGCCTATAGGGCACATAGGACTCATAGGGCTCATAGGGCTCATAGGTCTCATGAGGCTCATAGGGCTCAGATGGCTCATAAGGCTCATAGGGCTCATGCGGCGCATGCGGCTCATAGGGCCCAGGGTGCTCATAGGACTCATAGGGCTCATAATGCCCATATGGCTCGTAAGGCACAGAGGGCTCAGAGGTCTCACAGGGCCCACAGAGCTCGTAGGGCTCAAACGCCTCATAGGGCTCCTAGGGCTCCTAGGGCTCATATGGCTTATAGGGCTGATAGGGGTGATATGGCTCATAGGGCTCAGAGGGCTCAAATGGCTCAGACGCCTAATGGGGCTGGGGCTCATGGGGCTCATAGGGCTCATAGGTCTCACCAGGCTCACGAGGACCATAGGGCTCACATGCTTATAAAGGTCATAGGCGGCACTGACAGGGCGCCTAAGCGTCCGTCACTGTCCGTCGTCCCAGGGCGCGCAGGAGGGAGAGGGAGAGACGGGTGCGGGATCATTTTTCTTTTCGTATGCCAGCCATAAGGTGTCGAATGTTGTCGGGCATTTCTGGGGAGATCAGGGTGAGGGATCAGGGTGGACGGAGAGACGGAGCGTGGAGGAATGAGGAGAGCATGAACATAGGCAAAGCAAGGCAAGGCAACTCCTGGAAATCAACTCCATAACACCAGCCGGCACAATCATTCGGCGGACCGAGAAGTGACAAGTCATACTTGTCAGGAGGGCTCCAAGAAAGGCCTCTAGAGGGCCACCCTGCTGTCAAGATGGCGACTCTCGTCCTTGACAGCAGGGGGGCTCCTCTCGGGGCCCTCTTGGAGCTCTCTTGGGGCCTTCTCGGAGCCCTGGGAGGCTTCCTGATGGGTCACAAGAAGGCCCCAGGAGGGCACCAAGAAAGGCACCAAGATGGCGCCCCTACTGTCACGATGGCGGTCCCCGTCCTTGACAGCAGGGGGGCCCCTCTCGGGGCCCTCTTGGAGCCTTCTTGGTGCCTTCTTGGAGATCCCAAGTAAACTCCAGGAGGTCCCAATTTTGGGGGATGAGAGCCCATTGAAGAGAGAACGGCTCGGCCAGGCAAGGGTGAGTGAGAACAAACAACTCCAGGAGGGCCCCAAGGAAGGCCCCGAGAAGGAGTCAATCGCAATGGCTTGAGCCAAGGGCTACGGACTCCTCCCCCCTGTCTCTTTCGTCGTGTGGTACCCGCCGTGATCATAGGATATTATTCCGTACGAACCCATCAGATCCCACCGTCCGTTGCCGTTTCGGGTCGAACTGCAGTCGCTTGCTGAACGGGCGTTGCGGTCAGATTGAGGCTGCCAGCCCTTCTCGGGCCCCAGCTGAGGGGCCCCAGATGCCCATCACATGCGCATCGGTTCAGTCATCTCTGATGTGGGCGACCCACGGCAAAGATGAAGCTGATGCTCTGTGCGGGCACATGGCTGATTGCACCGACGGGCACCGCATGCACCGCCTCCTCACGGTTTCGTCGGGCTGCTCAGGGATTATGACTTTCGACTTGAGTGCGAGGGTTGTTGGGACCATTTTGGGATACTCGGTCGCGTCCGATTGGGTTATCGAGAAGGACGGGAAGGCCATGGAAGAAATGCTCCACAGTGGACCTCATGCCCCACGTCATGCTTTTCAAGACTGGTATGAAGTACTAACACCCCGTGTGCGAGACCAGCTGGCAAAGCTCCCGCTGACAGATGTCGACGCCAGGAGACGATTGATTCTATCAAACCCAACTCGGACCAAGAGGCTCTGGTGTTTGAAATGCGGGGGGTACTGCAGTTTATCTCGCACCCATGTCCATTGCAGTGGGTTTCCATGCGTGCATGACTCCACTTTCGGCAGCCACGGCTCTCGAGAAGGAGAAGGCTACAATGTACTATGGATAGGATTGCGGCAGCGACTCGATCTCTTGGACTGGCTGACTCAAAAAGGGCGCCAAATACCATTGCGACTGAACCTGCTCTTTGGGCGAGCCCCCTCCCCCTCTCCTGCCCCTGGGCCCCGTGACCTTAGACTCCCCGTTCTCCCCCTTGCCCCTAGTGCTCCTCCCTCTGGTAATTTCGGTCGGCTGTTCAAAGATGTGGGCCCTGAGGGATGGGGCCCCAGGGTTAGGCCTCAGGATAGATTTACATGATTAAAGGCCCTTCGTTCTTAGACCGCATCCCTCAGGGCCACGTCTTTCAACCGCCGACCCGAGGAACCCACGGTGATCTTCGAGTGCGTTCCGCAGCAAGGCGATGACGAGTACCGGCGGGCTCTCGGGGGACACTACTCCCTCGAACGCGTGACTCTCAACGCCTGCGACCAAGGCTGGAGCACGCGCCGGCCTCGCCAGTTCGTGGTGGGTCTCCTCAAGGGCTTGAATGTGCCGCCTCCCCGGGGACCCCACATGTCCATGCAAGAGTTCATCGACCGCTGCTTCGCTCGAGGCTGCGGGTACTCACCTTCGTCGTACTGCGTGAGCTCAGAGGAGGAATTGGCAGAAGAGTACGAATGGGCGGTTTCGAGAACAGACGTGAAAGCGAGGCACCGAGCAGGCGACAAGTTCAACGACCCGCACGGCTCGTGGAAGTACGCTTTGACTTTGACCGAACGTGAGCGGCTCGAACAGTTCTCGAAGCAGCTGCCTGGCCGCAATTGGGATCTGGGGCAAACCATCAAGAAGCAAGTGAACAGCCCAGTCACGGGCCCCTTACATACCCTGCGCAGGGGGATGGGGATCACGTGGATGGCTGAGCTCGAGAGGTGGTTGACGCCACTCGAGACGTTTTTGTCGATGGGCTTCCCAGTGACCCCAGAAGCTGTTAGGATGTATCACGGTGTCGACTGCCAATTCACCAGGGGTTCTACCAACTCTTTTCCTTATCGCACGCGGAACTCTATGCTCTGCGAGCTAGGCAATGCAATGCACGTTAATTCTATCGGGTCAGTTGTGTTCGCCATTGTGTATCGTTATCGATGGTTGCTGGTAGTGCACGTGCCTGAGCAGTCTGGTGACATCGCATTCCCGGCTGCCCCTTGCCCGCGCATCGACTCTGCACTGACCCCTGCTTTGGTTTCAGAGGAGGCCGAGGCAGCTGCCGAAGTCGCCAGGAAGCGCGCTCGGGCGATCAAGCGCCAGAGGTCCTTGTGAGTGAGCCCTCGGTCCCAAATGTGGACGAGGCCCGCCAGTGAGGAGGTGAGTGGATGGAGAAATGCCGATACGAATCGGAGGAGGGCGGCGGGTGGGAGAAGGAGAGCGGAGGAGGGCGGCGATAGGGAGGATAGGAGGATAGTGCTTCGCTTGGAGCTGGCTGGCGGGCAGTACAGGTCTGCTGGCTGCCCTGCGCTCGGCTTTCGGATCGCGCGTCCGAGTCTAGACAAGTCAGACAAGTCGGCTGGCCCCCCGCCTGGGCAACTGACAAGGAAAGTGCACCTCTATCCAGCCCTCCTTCAACGCGTTTCCATCAGTCGGCTGCACCGGCTGTGCATCCCTCCTCCTACCCTCCTCTCCTCCCCTCCTTTCTCCTGCAAGCTCCTCCTCTATCTCTCATCTCTCCTTACTTCTCCTCCGTCTCCTCTTCCATCTGTCATCGCTCCTCCTCCCCTCCTCTCCTTCTCCTTTTCTCCCTCTTCTTCCTCCTCCTCCTCCTTCCCGACATCTATCCCTTCCTCTCGTCCGTCTCCTGATCCTCGTCATCCTCGTCCTCCTTCGCCGCTGATGCGTGCTGCCCTTCTCGGCCCCTGCTCGTTGCTGGAGTCCCCCGCCCGCCAGGTCTCGGCCGCGACGCAGCTGCGGCGGCCTCGACGTCGTCGGACCCGATCGCCGCGCTGACCGCCAGCCTCAAGGCTGCGGGAGACGGGGGTGGAGGTGGAGGTGCTGAGGTGGAGGAGGCCACGCTTTTGGACTTCCAATGTCGAAGTGACACGCCCGACGTTTGAGCAAGTGCTGTCCTTCCTCGAGGCGGGTCAGTCTTCAAACGTCCGCTAGCGAACGTTTGATCGGTTGCTGACCCGCCTCTTGGGGGCTCCGCGCGAGCTCGAACGTCAAGGCGCAGACATTCCACATCGCACCCTTTACTTCCTGCCGTGATCCCTTGGTCCAGCTCTTGCCCACTACCAGGTGGTTGGCCTCAAAAGGTTTCAGGTGGCAAGAGAGTTTCCCAACCTTGACCATGCTGTGGCGTTGGGTCTTCGTTTTTTTTTTTGAAAAAAACAAAAAAAAAACGCGCTTCACCTCCTCCTCCCCCCGCTGCCCCCTCCCTCCTCTCCTCCCCCTCTTCCCTTCTCCCACTCCTGCTTCTGCTCGCCGCATTTCCACCATGTCGGCGCACCCCTCACGAGCCTCACGAGGATCGTGGCCCCATAGGGAGCTCCACCGAAGGCCCCAGCGGCAGGGATTGCATGCGTCCCCCCGCCCATGTCGGCACACCCCTCGCGAGGATCGTGGCCCCACGGGGAGCTCCACCGAAGGCCCCAGCGGCAAGGTTTGCATGTGCCCCCCCACCCATGTCGGCACACCCCTCCCGAGGATTGTGGCCCCATACGTAGCTCCACCGAAAGCCCCGGCGGCAGGGTTTGCATTGGTCCCCCCGCCCATTGTGGCACACCCCCCACGAGGATCGTGGCCCCATAGGGAGCTCAGAGCTCCAACGAAGGCCCCAGCGGCAGGGATTGCATGCGTCTCCCCACTCATTTGGGCACACTCTTCACGAGGATCGTGGCTCCATAGGGAGCTCCACCTCCACCAAAGGCCCCAGCAGCAGGTTTTGCATGCGCCCCCCCGCCCATTTCGGCACACCCTTTACGAGGATCGTGGCCCCATAGAGGGTTCCACCGAGAGCGGTACCACAACGCGGTACTCACAGCTGCATATGGTTGGTGTTTGCGGGCCGACGTTAGGAATTTGCATTCCTTTCTTGCTTAAATGGCCTGTGTTGGCCTTCTGCGCAAGTAAAGCTCCTGCCCACTACCAGGTCGGCCCCCCCCTCCTCTCCCGATAGGCTGGGGCCACTGACCAGCTGGGGTCGCCCGGCGCCTTCGACGGCGGCTTCTCCAGCTACGAGAACCGCCACCCGGGCAAGGAGGGCGCCGTGCTGCGCGCGCAGGCGCCGCCATTGGGCGGCCCAGGGGCGGGCTCTGGTGCGAGCCAAGCAAAGGGGCCGGGAGCGAGGAGAGGCGGCCCCGCGCGGCTGCTCTGGATGATGCCAGACAGCACATGAGGTGTCGGTTGCGAGGCCCTGACGAGGACCCCAAGAGGCTCCAATCAATTTCAGTTGGCTCTGGAACGGGTCCGAGACGGACCCATGAAGGGCCAGCGTGCGTTCAAACGGACGCGGTCATCTGAATGTTGTTTTCGCGGTTCTGAGCTGGCCCTGAGACCCCTGGGAGGCGCCAAGCTATTTCGCAGATGACCCTGGCCCTGAAACGCAGCAGAGGCCATCGAAAGCCACCCAGCCCAGAGGAGGCCCCCAAATGCCCAACCCAACCGCTGCCGATATCATGGTTATGGCCGTCTGAACATTTGAAGCCGTTTCGCCTTCTCAGTATGCGGGCTTGGAGGCTTGGATCAAGATACTCGGACTGAGGCTTGTTCACATTCGAGGAATCTTGATCCACCCAGTGCGGGCATGTGTCAAGATGCTCGGACTGAGTTCACATTCCAGGACACGGTACTGGACTGAGGCGTTTCCCGCATTCCAGGTTTCTTGATCCACCCACGTCGTGCCTGAGATGTTCAGATTCAGGCGTTTCACATTCCAGTTCTCTGGAGCCCTCTTGGGCTAAGCCGACTTCTCATTCCAAGTGTGATGGTTCACGCGCTGCGGGCTTGGATCAAGATACTCGGACTGAAACGCATCCCAAAATTCCAGGTAGCGAAACATGTTCAGATGGCCGCCACCGTGACATCGGTCGGCTGAAAGCGCCAGAGCCACCCTCTGCAGTTCAATGCTGACTACGTCCTCCCGTGGCCAGGAACGACTCAGCCATTTTTTCACGAGGACGGGGCCAGAGTGTTCGTGCGGCACAAGATCAACAACCGCCAGCAGAGGGCGACCAGGCGCTATTACAAAAAGCTCGGCCTGGCGAAGGGGGTGAACTGGGGAGAAGAGGCTGATCTGGAACCGGAGCCGGTCGCGCCGGTCGCGCCGGTCGCGCCGGTTGCGCCGGTCGCGCCGGTCGCGCCGGTCGCGCCGGTCGCGCCGGTCGCGCCGGTTGCGCCGGCTGCGCCGGTCGCGCCGGTTGCGCCGGTCGCGCCGGTCGCGCCGGTCGCGCCGGTCGCGCCGGTCGCGCCGGCTGCGCCAGCTGCGCCGGTCGCGCCGGTTGCGCCGGTTGCGCCGGTCGCGCCGGTCGCGCCGGTCGCGCTGGTTGCGCCGGCTGCGCCGGCTGCGCCAGCGGCGCCGGCTGCGCCAGCGGCGCGTCGATTGTGATATCAACACAGACATCACAGTCGTCATGTCGCTCTCCCGTCGTGTCCCGTGGGTGGTGTCATGATCTCGTGGCGTGGCGTGGCGTGGTGTGGGGTACGGTGTGATGTGGCGTGATGTTGTGTGGCGTGGTGTGTGGTGTGGTGTGTGCGTGTGTGTGGTGTGGTGTGGTGTGTTGTGGTGTGTGTGTGTGTGTGCGTGTGTGTGTGCGGTGCGGTGTGGTGCGGTGCGGTGCGGTGCGGTGCGGCGTGGTGTAGTGTGTAAGTGAGGTCGGTTGCGACACCATCACAGAGATCGCACTTGCCATGTAGGTGCCCCATGGGAGGTGTCATGAGGACGTGATGTCGTGATGTCGTGCCTTTCTGCGGGGGGGATGCCCGGGCAGACTCCTGCCGGCCTTAGTCAAAATGAAGAACACGAGAGGCCGCGGGGGCAGGAATGGAGGAGGGGGAAAGGAGGGCCGAGAGCGAGGATACCACATCAGGAGCAACCTTTTTGACATCGGATCTCGAATGTGTGCGTCGCGAGCTACGCCTCGTAGTCGCCGACGCATCGCCGGGCCGGCCCGTCGGCTGCGCCGGCGCGCACCGCCGCGGGAGGAGCAAGAGGAAACGATGCGGTACTGCGTGCGGAAGTCGCATGCAGAAGGCGCTGGAAAAGTCCCCGGCCGCACCCCGCCCTGCAGCGGATGGCGCGCGGAAGCGTCGAGTAAACAGAAAAACTGCGTCAGCAGCCCGGGTGTGCGTGCAACCCCGGGTGCCTTTCTGCGAACGCAGCGGCGGGGAAAACGACATGCTTGAGCAGCTCGGGCGTGCGTGTAATCCCGAGTGCCTTTCTGCGGGAGCATGCCCGTGGAGACTTCTGCCGGCCCTCGTCAAAATTAAACGCGAGAGGCCGCGGGGGCAGGAATGGAGGAGGGGGAAAGGAGGGCCGAGAGCGAGGAAACCACATTAGGAGCAACCTTTTTGACATCGGATCTCGAATGTGTGCGTCGCGAGCTACGCCTCGTAGTCGCCGACGCCTCGTAGTCGCCGACTCGAAGATAGAACAAGAAGGAGAGAGGTAAATCAACGTACACCTCACAACAATGCCGTGACCCCCCAACATATCGTGGCCAACGATTGTGAAAACCGCTCTTACCAATCTCATCAGGGCGAGGCATGCAAGATATTTGAGGCACCAGACGGTATCGATACCGATGCTTCATGGCCCTCTCCTGGGGTGCCTTCTGACCAGACTCCCGAGGCGAATCCAGCGGTGGCGACGAGGGCCTCCCAGGAGGCCCAACGAGGCGCAAACGAGGCAAGGGTAGCGGTATGTGTGTCTGGAGAACCTGGGGCGGATCGGGAAAGGAGACGCTGCCATGAGCTCTCGGTGGCACGGAGGGCGTGGCCCTGCAGGTAGGGGTGACCTTTGGTGTGCAGCTTGGGGGGGGGGCTGCGGGGGAGGGAGGGGGCCAGATCCAAGCGCGTGGGCCAGTGCCTGAGGGAGCCCTGGTGGGCCCGCACCAAAGGTCAATTTGGCGAAGGGTCGCTCTCACGCGCAGCTGAATCTTGGTCCTGCAGGATCTGCCTCGTGGCAGCCCAACGCGCTGGGACAGCGCAGTAGAACATGATCGACCCACGAACCCGGAAAGGAATATAGAAATGTAAGGCATTGTAACATTTCAAAGACACCTGATTGGGCGACGGGCACATGCAATGCTAAATGTATCGATGATGATGTACTGTGCCGAGGGCTGTGCTGTGCTACGCCGTGCTGAACTGCGATGTGCCATGCCGCGATTGTTTTCTATATAGCGTTGTGGATCGAGTCCTCCCTGGCATCCGAGTCCTCACCGAACTGATCTGGAGCGTAAGCTCGAGCTGCTCAGGATGGTAGCTGCCCCAGAATTAATCGACAGAGGGAACATGCCAAGAGGACGCGCCGCGGAACGTCCCAAGGGACGCGCCAGGCGACGTGCCAGGGGACGTGCCATGGGGACGCACCGTGGGACGTGCCAAGGGGACGCGCTACGGAACGTGCCAATGGACGTGCCGAGGGACGTGCCATGGGACGCGCCGCGCGACGTGCCAGGTGGACTCGCCACGGAACGCGCGCGACCGGCGCAGCTGGCGCAGCCGGCTGCGCCGGCTGCGCCAGCGGCGCCGGCTGCGCCAGCGGCGCGTCGATTGTGATATCAACACAGACATCACAGTCGTCATGTCGCTCTCCCGTCGTGCCCCGTGGGTGGTGTCATGATCTCGTGGCGTGGCGTGGCGTGGTGTGGGGTACGGTGTGATGTGGCGTGATGTTGTGTGGCGTGGTGTGTGGTGTGGTGTGTGCGTGTGTGTGGTGTGGTGTGGTGTGTTGTGGTGTGTGTGTGTGTGCGTGTGTGTGTGCGGTGCGGTGTGGTGCGGTGCGGTGCGGTGCGGTGCGGCGTGGTGTAGTGTGTAAGTGAGGTCGGTTGCGACACCATCACAGAGATCGCACTTGCCATGTAGGTGCCCCATGGGAGGTGTCATGAGGACGTGATGTCGTGATGTCGTGCCTTTCTGCGGGGGGGATGCCCGGGCAGACTCCTGCCGGCCTTAGTCAAAATGAAGAACACGAGAGGCCGCGGGGGCAGGAATGGAGGAGGGGGAAAGGAGGGCCGAGAGCGAGGATACCACATCAGGAGCAACCTTTTTGACATCGGATCTCGAATGTGTGCGTCGCGAGCTACGCCTCGTAGTCGCCGACGCATCGCCGGGCCGGCCCGTCGGCTGCGCCGGCGCGCACCGCCGCGGGAGGAGCAAGAGGAAACGATGCGGTACTGCGTGCGGAAGTCGCATGCAGAAGGCGCTGGAAAAGTCCCCGGCCGCACCCCGCCCTGCAGCGGATGGCGCGCGGAAGCGTCGAGTAAACAGAAAAACTGCGTCAGCAGCCCGGGTGTGCGTGCAACCCCGGGTGCCTTTCTGCGAACGCAGCGGCGGGGAAAACGACATGCTTGAGCAGCTCGGGCGTGCGTGTAATCCCGAGTGCCTTTCTGCGGGAGCATGCCCGTGGAGACTTCTGCCGGCCCTCGTCAAAATTAAACGCGAGAGGCCGCGGGGGCAGGAATGGAGGAGGGGGAAAGGAGGGCCGAGAGCGAGGAAACCACATTAGGAGCAACCTTTTTGACATCGGATCTCGAATGTGTGCGTCGCGAGCTACGCCTCGTAGTCGCCGACGCCTCGTAGTCGCCGACTCGAAGATAGAACAAGAAGGAGAGAGGTAAATCAACGTACACCTCACAACAATGCCGTGACCCCCCAACATATCGTGGCCAACGATTGTGAAAACCGCTCTTACCAATCTCATCAGGGCGAGGCATGCAAGATATTTGAGGCACCAGACGGTATCGATACCGATGCTTCATGGCCCTCTCCTGGGGTGCCTTCTGACCAGACTCCCGAGGCGAATCCAGCGGTGGCGACGAGGGCCTCCCAGGAGGCCCAACGAGGCGCAAACGAGGCAAGGGTAGCGGTATGTGTGTCTGGAGAACCTGGGGCGGATCGGGAAAGGAGACGCTGCCATGAGCTCTCGGTGGCACGGAGGGCGTGGCCCTGCAGGTAGGGGTGGCCCTGCAGGTAGGGGTGACCTTTGGTGTGCAGCTTGGGGGGGGGGCTGCGGGGGAGGGAGGGGGCCAGATCCAAGCGCGTGGGCCAGTGCCTGAGGGAGCCCTGGTGGGCCCGCACCAAAGGTCAATTTGGCGAAGGGTCGCTCTCACGCGCAGCTGAATCTTGGTCCTGCAGGATCTGCCTCGTGGCAGCCCAACGCGCTGGGACAGCGCAGTAGAACATGATCGACCCACGAACCCGGAAAGGAATATAGAAATGTAAGGCATTGTAACATTTCAAAGACACCTGATTGGGCGACGGGCACATGCAATGCTAAATGTATCGATGATGATGTACTGTGCCGAGGGCTGTGCTGTGCTACGCCGTGCTGAACTGCGATGTGCCATGCCGCGATTGTTTTCTATATAGCGTTGTGGATCGAGTCCTCCCTGGCATCCGAGTCCTCACCGAACTGATCTGGAGCGTAAGCTCGAGCTGCTCAGGATGGTAGCTGCCCCAGAATTAATCGACAGAGGGAACATGCCAAGAGGACGCGCCGCGGAACGTCCCAAGGGACGCGCCAGGCGACGTGCCAGGGGACGTGCCATGGGGACGCACCGTGGGACGTGCCAAGGGGACGCGCTACGGAACGTGCCAATGGACGTGCCGAGGGACGTGCCATGGGACGCGCCGCGCGACGTGCCAGGTGGACTCGCCACGGAACGCGCCAAGGAACGTGCCAAAGTGTATAGTTGAGTGTATCGATATTGATGTACCGTGCCGACGGCTGTGCTGTGCTGGGCCGTGCTGAACTGCGATGCGTCATGCCGCGATTGTGCTCTCTCTCTCTCGTGCCAAAGTGTATAGTTGAGTGTATCGATATTGATGTACCGTGCCGACGGCTGTGCTGTGCTGGGCCGTGCTGAACTGCGATGCGTCATGCCGCGATTGTGCTCTCTCTCTCTCTCTCTCTCTCTCTATAGATATAGATATAGCGTTGTGGATCGAGTCCTCCCTGGCATCCGAGTCCTCACCGAACTGATCTGGATCGTAAGCTCGAGCTGCCTGAGCAGATGGTAGCTGCCCCAGAACTAATCGACAGAGGGAACATGCCAGGAGGACGCGCCGCGGAACGTCCCAAGGGACGCGCCAGGCGACGTGCCAGGGGACGTGCCATGGGCACGCACCGCGGGACGTGCCAAGGGGACGCGCTACGGAACGTGCCAATGGACGTGCACCGCGCGACGTGCCAGGGGGACTCGCCACGGGACGCTCCGCGGAACGTGCCAAGCAACATGCCAGGCTGCAATGCTAAAGGTATCGATATTGATGTACCGTGCCGAGGGCTGTGCTGTGCCTGGGCGACCTGGACACGTGAAAACACGCGTTTCGCTCAAGACGTTGTCAGCACATCCTCATGCTAGACATCCGCTTGGGCAACCTGGACACGTGCAAACAAAGCGTCTCGCTCGAGACATCCTCAACAAATGCTCATGTTAGACATCCGCCTGGGCGACCTGGACACGTGAAAACAAGCCTCTGGTTCGAGACATCCTCAACAAATCCTCATGCTAGACATCTGTCTGGGCCACCTGGAGGCGTGAAACCAAGCGTCTCGCTCGAGGCATCCTCAAGACCAGGGCACGAATCCACTTGAGAGATCCTCAGAATTCAGGCCCCCAGGAGAGGACAATCTATAACACAAAACAAGCGTTTCGCTCGAGACATCCTCAACAAATTCTGAAAAACAAGCGTTTCGCTCGAGACATCCTCAAATCCCACCAGCCCTTTGGGCGTGAGTGGTTCAGCGAGCTCTCTCTGTCCTCAACCCCCCTTCTTCCCCTTCGGGGAGGGGTTTACCCCTCCCCCTACCCCCTCCCCCTGGGCCTGGAGGGGGTGTTCCGCGGGTCGCCGGGGGGGTCTTTTTCGACTCCTCGGAGGGCTAAAAAACGACACCCCTCACGAGGATTCTGGCCCCGACGGGGGGACGGAGATAAGGTACCCTCCTCTTCCTTGAAGCCAAAAACATTGATTTTACTACGGTTTTGGCTCCATTTGGCCCTTCTGAGGGGGCAGCGCTCATGCAAGCTCCCCCCTCCCGTCAAGGCAATATTATTGATTTTACTAAGGTTTTGGGCTCATTTTGCCCTTCCGAGGGAGCAGCGCTCATTAAAGCTCCCCTCTTCTTGGATCCATGCCCTCCAAGATGGCCCCCCGAAGCGCCCAGGAGGCACCAAGAGGCCCCAAGATGGCCCCAAGAGGCCCCCCGGAGGCCCCCAACCGGGCGCGCCGGGCGCGCCGGTCGCGCCGGTCGCGCCGGTCGTGCTGATCGTGCCGGTCGCGCCGGTCGCGCCGGTGCCGGTCGCGCCGGTCGAGCCGGTTGTGCCGGTCGCGCCGGTCGCGCCGGTCGCGCCGGGTGCGCCGGTCGCGCCGGTCGCGCCGGTCGCGCCGGTCGCCGGTGCCGGTCGCGCCGGTCGCGCCGGTCGCGCCGGTGCCGGTCGCGCCGGTTGCGCCGGTCGCGCCGGTCGCGCCGGTCGCAATCGCGCTGGTCGCGCCGGTGCCGGTCGCGCCGGTCGCGCCGGTCGCGCCGGTTGGTTCTAGTTCGGTCCCCTTTGGAACTGGGGGGACCGCGCAGGGGACATCATGGTCGTCCCAGACCAGCTGGACCCGCGGAAATGGCAGCTCCACGTGCTGGGGGGGGCGACGCTCATCGAAGCGTGCTATGATATGATCCAGCACGTGGAGGACACGAAGCAGCCCAACGAGCAGGTCCGACTGCTGATCGCGAACCAGGTTCCCCCTGCCAGCAAATTAAGAACCCCCCCCCGGGGCGGGCGGGCACGTCGGCCGTCGGGCGATGAGGGGAGAAGGAGGAGGTGGATGGAGGTCAAGGGTTAAATGAGCGCCGAGTCAGAGTCAGAGGAACGAGGAGAAAGATGAATATGGAGGGTGAGGGGGCCGAGAGGGGAGGTGGGGAAAGGGGGCTCCTCCTGGGGCCCATGGGGCCGCACATTACAACAACATGTTGGTTTCGACCTCCAGGGGTGGTGACCCCGACGTCCCTGATGGTCATCGTGTCCGTCCACCCCTCCTCGCCCTCATGGCCACCCATCCCCATCCCTCCTCGGGCTCCTCGGGGAGAGGGATGTGGATGTGGGGGGCAGTCCTGAAGGGGGGACAGGAAGCTTAACTTTTCTGCCAGGTGCCCCGCATCGTGCTGTTGAACCCCCAGATCCCAGTAGACGCGCAGATCTGGATCAAGGTCCAGTGCAACTCCATGGTCGCAGTGGGATCTTCCACGTCCTTCGTCGAGAGGCTTGAGATTACACCAGTGATTGCAGCGCACTGGGTGAAGTTCCTCAAGGATGAGCGAGATGCTGCTAAGAAACGGTCTGCCGATGACGCGCAGCTGGACGATGCAGATGCGGGCAGCTCCGGGAACAAGGGTGACGATGGCAACGGCAGCCGCTTCAAGGGCTTCGAGGCGAAGTACAACAAATTCGTCAAGGAGAACTACAGGGAGATGTTCGACGGGCTTGAGGATTTCAAGCGCGCAGCTTTATTCAAGAAGAGGTGCGACGCTTTGCAGATATGGGACAGGCTGGTGGACTGGTGGGGGGAGTTCGTGGTGTTCGAGGAGCGTCGCATGAATCCGAAGGCCATGTTCCTCGTGTTCGACAAGATCGGGGACGTGTTGGCCAAGGACAGCTACCACGGGGCCTTTGGCGATGCGATGTTCGAGGTTCTCAAGTACGCGGTGCCGACCGTCTTTGAGCCCCAGCCCAAGGATGACGATGACGATGGGGAGGCAGATGTCGCGCAAGAGATTGCTACTGACGTGGACTACGTGAACCACCCGGACCGCGACGTGCGCTGGATATTGCAGAAGACTTCTGATTGTAAGCGCCTGGTGCAGCTGACCACTCCGATGGCCGACTCTTCCATCTTCAAAGATGCGTTGTCCGCGAGCCCTGCCAAGCGTCTGCTGACGACGGTGGCGAACCCGAAGGCAAAAGGCAAGGCTAAGCCGAAGGGGTCTGCTAAGGCCGCCGTCACGCCAGATGCCGTGGCACATTGCACGCAAGCGGGATCAACAGTCCGCTCGACCATGTTCCTGGATGACGTGATGAACGCTGTTGTCCACCCAGTGCGGAAAATTGACCGTTCACATTGGAATACTGGTGAACTCCGCCGGATGGTGAGGTTCGGAGTTCGCTTGGGGATGAAGCTCCAGTCGGACAAGGGGAAGGTTGTGTTCCAGTTCGGCGACAGAGACTCTGAGGAGGAACACTTCGCACTGTGGAAGATGTTGCGCCCTCGCATCATGGATCACATTTACGACGTGCACAGCGAGCTCGTGGAGAAGCCCAAACCCGAGGGTGATGATAAAAACGACTGTGCAAAAGATGGTGTGGCGTCGACACATCAAGATGATGTTGATATGGCTTCATGTTTGGCCTCGCTCAACATGGCAATCGGCAGCGACGGCAAGAGTCGGACGAGGACTAAGAAGCTGGTCGCCGACTTCCTCACCGACAACCCTCCCTTGCAGAACCTGACGTACCTCGAGCAGACACACGTTGTCGTGACCAGGATCAGCTCGACTCTCTTGCGCTCGAAGGGCAGGGTGTACCCAGGAGACGATCTGCAGGCAACATGTCGAACTATTGTCTCGGATGCTTTCAAAGTTCTGGATATGCATACGCCGTCTTGCTTGTATCGGATTTCTGGTTACATTCTGACGTTGCTCGATCAGATAAGTGATGACAAGGACTGGGCGTCATCAAACATGGCGCCTCTAAGCTTAAACACCTTTCGAAAGTGTTGGGTCCTGGGGTGCTTTCGTTTCTGCCCCCCCTGGTCGGTTGTCTTGTGTTTGGGGGTCGGCCGTCGTGTTTGGTTTCGCCCTCCGAGGACAAAAATGCATGGGTCGATGAGAAGCGCAAAGTTGACAAGGAGAGTACCATGCTGACCATCCGGCTCCAGTCGGTCGACGCCTCCTTGGCCCAATGGGTGGCTGAGCTCTGGGCTGACCAATCCGACGTCGTGGCTACCCACCGCACGAGGTTCCTCTACATTCAGAAGGCATTGAAGCTGATTGCAGAGAACGCGCAGTTCGGCAGCGAGCCCATCAAGCAGTACATCATCAATGGGATCGAATTCGGGGCCGCCGTGGAGGCCGACATTTTCGGGTACGATAGCGTAGAGAACGGGAACCCCTCCAGCGAGGCATTGTGGCTCAGGGTGTTCGAGATTGCCGAAATCTTGAAGGGCCGAGTGGTGAAGAAGCCCGTCGTTGCAATGTTGCGGACCGCGGTGGCGTTTTAATCCCAAGGGGGGGGAGCGGAGGAGGAGTATTAGAAGGAGGGGGAGGAGCCCGGGGAGGAGAAGATGATGATGCGGAGGAGGGAGAGGAGGGAGCAGGAATATGGAGGGGGACGACAAGGACGATTGGAGGTCGAGAGGCAGTGATTTCGCCACCGCCCAAAGGAGCCGCGAAGCGCAGGTCAAGTCCAAGATCGAGTGCATGAAGAAGGCCGACATCGTGAAGGCACTGCAGGTTGAGTTCCCTGGCGCAGTGCCCGAAGGTGTTGATACCTTGGTCAAGTCAATGGTTATGCAGTTATTGCTTCAGGAGCGGCTCCGACGGATGGATGCCCAAGAGCTTGCGGCGCTGCAAACATGGAAGAGCTTACTCTGCCTGGGTTTCGAGGAAGGCGCCGACGCGCTTCGGAGGAAAGCCTCTGCCGTGGCCCTGCCCCTGACCGCTCCAGATGCTGAGTCCAGCCCGCGCGGTGACAATGCCGACAATGCTGGCGCCGAGACGGCCGAGACGACGTCCGCGCAGCCTCAGAACACAGTGGTTGTGGCCTTGGAACAGTGCACTCAGGTAGAGATCAACGGCAAGGAATACTTCATCCTCTTCAAGGGTATGGGGGCTTGTGACATGTCGCGCCGCCTGTGGAAGTGCGACGAGGCGAGCCGCTACCTGACGCATGCCATCATGGAGGAGTGGCTGTTCGGTTGCGGGCCTGCCATTACCAAACCAGTGGGCGGCTCCAACGGCGGTGACGATGCCGCCGCGGTGCCGCCGACGCCGAAGAAGCCCAAGACGAGGGTCGCAGGGAAGACCGAGCCTGCGGTGATTGCAGCGAGGGATGAGGACGCCGCGGTGGAGACCGCGGCCGAGAAGGTGGAGGTGGTCGTCGAGGACGAGAACGACGAGAACGATGAGAAGGAGCAGCACGCGAAGCCGATCTCTCTCCTCGATGTGGGCCTTGACTTCCTGGTGTGCCCGTCCTCCCAGATGTCAGCTGGTAGGCCCGGTGGCGGAGTGAAGCTCTACTTCGACAGGACGCGTGATGCATGCGGGTCCATGGAGGAGAAGCTCAAGCTTCATTTCGCAGGCAGGGTGGTGATATACCCTGGCGCCTTCGTTGGAGATGGAGCTCGCGTCGCAGCAGGCCGCGTGCACATTGAGCAGCAGGAGCTCAACATCTTCATCGTGCCGAACGTTAACTTCAAGGACCCCCGCAGCACCATCAGCGTCCCCGCCTGGAGCGTGCCAGTCGTGGCGGACAAGGCGCATGAGGAGGACACCATGACCATGAAGGTGGGCACGTACACGCAGGTGATCAAGGACGTGCCTGGGGTGGACGGCGGCGCCGTGATGCTGGACCGCAGCTTCTTGATGATCAGGCCGAGGGCGGAGCTCTTGGCGATTCAGCAGCGGAAGAGCGAGGAGGGGGTCCCGGCGGCGGCTGCGGGCACCGACGGGGAGTTCGCCCCGCTCGAGCTGGAGCCCCTGACCAGGCCAAAGTTCCCGTGGGAGTTCAAGGCCGTGGTCCAGGAGGACGAGAAGGCCCGCAAGGCGCTTGGCAAGGTGGGCCAACCAATGTCAAATGCAACGGGAGAAAGTATCGTGGAAGGACGAGGGGAGGGAGGGAGGGAGTGAGGAGAAGGATGAGGGTGAGAAGAAGGATGAGGGATGAGTGGAAAGAGGAGGAGGAGGAGGAGGAGGAGGAGGAGGAGGAGGAGGAGGAGGAGGTGGAGGAGGGAGGGAGGGAGGGAGGAGACACCAGGATGGAGAGAGAAGGAAGAGGGGATGGAAGCCCTCCATTACCTCATCCTCCTCCCCTCCATCCACTCTATGCCTCCAGCCCTCCGCCCATCCTCCTCCTTCATCCACTCGATGCCTCCGTCGTCCCTTCCCCTCCTCCTTCAGCCCTCCACCTCGCCACGCCCTTCCCCCATCCTCCCTGTTTCTATCCTGCATCTCTCCCCGCTCTTCGTTCCTGCCTCCAGCCTCCCTCCTTCCCTCCGCCTCCTGGGGGAACCGAAAAGCAGATGCCGATGCCGCAACTCCGCGGACCTTTCCAGTGGTGCGTTCTGATGAGATTTCGAAGCGAATCCAGCCGAAACCACGAGGGACAAGTAGCGGCATCGGTATCTGTTCCTCTTCTGATCGATGATCCTCAGAACGTGCGTCAGCACCGACGTGTGTTTGTCCACTGAGGCACTCCAACACGATGCGGGCGGTTAAATATCGGCGGAGCCGAACGGGGTAGACACACGTTTGGGCTAACACACGCCCTGAGGATAATCGATCTGGCCTCCGCACCTTCCCCCCCACCGCCCCATAGGCCATGAGGCACATCCTCGCGTGAGGGCTGCGAGGACGCCTCCTGGGGGCCTGCCTGGCGGCCTGCCTGGCGGCCTGCCTCTGGGCCCGGTGCCTGCGCGGGGATGCGCGGGCGCCTCGGGCAGGGACCGCCCGCTGGCGAGCCAGAACAACCCGTGGCCGAGCGTCGGCCCTCTCGATCCAGGAAAGGAGCAGCGCAAGAGGACAGGGGAGCAGAGGTGGATAGTAGGTGCGAGGGAAAACAGCGACGGATGATCAGGAGTACGACTAGGATGAGCAGGAGAAGGAGGATGAGGGCTAGGCTACGCATGCGTTGCATATCTAATGGCCTTCGGAACAACCCGCCACCGATCTTGGTTCGGGAATCTCATGGGGGCCTGAGTTGTTGTATTGGGCCCTGTTGAGCCTCCTGGAAGGCTCTTCGGGGCATGGGGACAAGGGTGAGGGCCCTTAGGCCCTTGGGCTCTTGGAGGTTTCTTGGGTCCTCGTGATGCATCTTGTTGTGCATCTGTGTTTCGAAATCCGAATCGGGAGCTCGCGGCACGTTGTCACTTGGCCTCTTTGGATTGCTGATGGGGTCAGTCGCAATTTGCCGCCGCGGTGAGCGCCCAGATGCTTAGAGGCGCCCGTGGGGGTCTCGAGCGCTGCCCCCCCACGGGCCTCGATTTTGCTCAAAACTGACGATAGCCCGATTCCCACTGCTATGGCCACGGCCACCCCCCTCACATCGCTGGCAGTGCTGCGATGAGGCGCTGCCACGGCTGCAGCTCAGGGCTGCGCGCGGTAAGCAATGACTCGGGCCGAATGATGGGCAGGCGCTTCCACCTCGGCGGGGTAGCGCATAGCCTGCGAGGCGTCCGCCTGAAAGGCCTGGCGACGAAAGAGGTCGTAGAGCTCAGTCATGCGCTCCTGTTGCTCCCCCTTTTCGGCCTCGATGGCGAAGGAGTAGCAGATCACGTCGCACGAGCACGCGATCACGTGGGCAAAGTATGTGAAGATAATAGCGGAGATCGACGCGAAGAAAATGCTGATGCTGAAGGAATTGACCGTCTTGTCGGTGATGCTGAAGTTGGCGCTGATGAGGATCACCACGACAATCGTGAAAAGAGGGTTGCGCACAAAGAACAGCATCACGAGGATCAACGCAATGATCATATACTGCTCGCCTTTCCCACCTCTGGGACGCATAGGGACATACAAATCATAGACGATCCCCTCGCGGGCGCACGTCCAGACCAGACACGCAGTCCACACACACACACACACCTTTCAGAGTATACCGCTACCCAGGGGGTATAGACAGACACCGCCCGCCGCCGAGCACACGCCACAAGATTTCGAAGCGCGCGTCGCCCCTGGGAGGCCGACTCACACACACACACACACACACACACACACACACACACACACACACACACACACGCACACCACAAGCATGGTGGGTGATGCCGAACCTATGTCGTGCGCCCCGTGCCCGATCGCGGCAAAGACCCCAAGGTTTTCCTCCTTGTCCAGGTAGGCCCAAACCGCAAATCCCATCGCGGTGCCGAGGAGCATCGAGATCTGCGTCATCTCCTTGTGGACGATGCTGTCGGCGATGACGGCCTTAGAACGAACACATGTAACAAACAACAAATATAAACTTTCGAAGCTCCGTCTGGATTTCTTGGATCGGCGCTGGACCCCCCTCCATGGCGCTCGGAGCGCGCCAGGGGCGGCGCTGGAGGCGCCGCCAGGAAGGCCCCAGCGCCGATCCGAGAAACCCGCGCGGAGCGCCAAAACAAATATATTTACAGGTCGTTGCTTCATCTCCGAGGCCTGGCATAAGCGGCACTTCCAGAGGCCCCGACCCCTTCCCCAGGGAAAGTTTCTCGCTGCGGAGCGTTGTTTCTGGCCACGGGGCCCGATAACGGGCCCCACATGTGGCTGAAATCAGCGATAAAATCTGATTAGGAAAACTAAGTCGTCGAGATCATCAGAGATCTGGGTATCACATTCTGGTCACGCCTGGCTCAGGCGCCGCTTCAGTATGTCCGTGGTCTTGTAGGCCGCCTCCGTGAGGCTACCGCCGTGGAACATGTGGGCCACCAGGCTGAAGCGCGACAGCGCCTCGACAATCGACTGAACCCAGCACCAGATCATTGCGATCAAGCACCGGATGGGGTTGCACTTGAACGTCTTCCGCTGATTCCGCTTCGCCTTGTGGAGGGCGAATACATGACCATTACCCCCCACATTACCTTCTGAACCTCCCTCTCACGAAAAGGGCAGGAGGGGCAAGTGGACGAGGAGAACGGGCATGGACATGTCTAGGCAAGCACATGTGATCCCTACCCCTGCAGGCCACATTTCTGAAACAAATCGCTGGGGGCTAGAATTTGGAGGACGTCTGCGACCAGCTTCGATTGCATCCGCAGGGGAAGGATTCGCTGGTAGTCGCAGAATGTTTGCGCCCTCCGTGCTTGCCATTTCCACCAGGGCCATGATGAGGGATGCGACGGAGACCGCCCCAGAGGAACGCGTGAAGGCGAGCGTCGCCCCGACCTCAGAGGCACTCGCCGCGACCCGCAGCTCTGTCCTACCCCTCTCCCCCATCCTCCCTCCGCCGCCCAACAGCACGGAGAGCAGGGGAGGGGGCGAGGTGAGGGGAGGGGGTGGGAGTTGGAGCGGCGGTCGTATGAGGGGGAACGTCAGGGGGGGACCGGCTCAGGTGTGTGCGTGTGGGGGGGGGGGGGGGGGGCAAACATCGGGCCCCTGGCAGCGAAATCGCACGCTCCTAGACGGGGTGGGCCATCGGGCCCATATCGGCGACCAATGGGCGATTTGGGGTCTGTGCATTCCCCTGTGAGCCCATCCTATGCCCGAAATAAAAAACAAAACTGCACAACCCTAAACTGTTGGCGCTCCGCGCGTATGTCTGGCATCTGCGCTGGAGCCCCCTCCCTGGCGCGCGGAGCGCGCCAAGGGGCGGCGCCAGAGGCGCCGCCAGAGGGGGGCCCAGGCGCGGACCCAAGAAATCCGCGCGGAGCGCCAACAGTGTACAGGATCTCGCCTGACCTACGGAACGATAAATAAGGAACGAAGCCCCTTTTTCCAAGGAAGTCTACCAAGTCCGAAGGAACGACCGAGCCCGTTTTGAAAAGCAAGTGTTCCTTATTCAAGCCGGATCCTGTAGGTTTGTGGCGATTTTTTCTTCTTCGGATCCCCCTGTGAGCCTGTCCTATGCCCCTGACGTTGCCCCTGGTCGCAGCGAGGCTCTCCCTCGGACCACCGCGGGATTGCCGGCCGCCGGTGCCGCCGCGACCGCGGCGGGGAAGTACCAGGCGCCCACTCCCGTGGCGCAGGCGGCGAGGGCCGCGTTCTGGAAGAAGAAGGTGGTGTAGACGACCGGAGAACAAAACCACGCGTACGGCAGGCAGGGCTCGACCAAAGCAGTGCTTGTCGTTTTCGTTTTGTTTTCGTTTCCTCCCTCGTTTTGTCTTCGTTTCGCCTTTGCTGCAAAACGAAATCGAAACGAAGATGGCCCACGAAATCGCCAAGCCATCGTTCAGGTCGGCCCCTGACGCGTACGGCAGGTTGGTGCTGTGACGACCCTCCCATTGGTTTCTACACCGCGTGGATCGTTCCACCCTGAACGATCGGCGGCTTCTCGATTGCCAGGTCGTTCCATGTTCCCGGGTCGTGGGCCACGGGCGGCGTTCAATCTTGAACGCCCGCGGCGGCATCGCTGCCGCGTCGGCAAGTAAACATCAATCCCACCAGTCCTCTGGGCGTAGGTGTTCTAGGGAGTTTCCTCTTCCAGCCCCCTTCTTCCCCTTCGGGGAGGGGTTTACACCTCCCCCCGACCCCCTCTTTTCGCTTCCGATGACCATCCGAGGCCTCAAGATGGCTCCAAGATGGCCCAAGAGGGCCCCAGGAGAGGTCCAGGAGAGCCCCAAGACGGCCCCAAGAGCGCCCAAGAGCGCCCCAAGAGCGCTCGATGTTCGGTGTTCCTGAGGGGGGAGGCTAATTGGAGCTCCCTTCATTTTTGATCGATGTCCTCCAAGATGGCCCCAAGAGAAGGCCCCAAGAGGCGCCCAGGCGGCCCCAAGAGGCCTCCAAGAGGCTCCCAAGAGACCCTATACGAGGCCTCAAGAGGATCCCCGAGGTACCCAACTCTCCCTCCTTCTCCTCCTTATCCTCCTTCTCGTCCTCCTCGTCCTCGCCCTACTCCACCTCCTCCTCCTCCTCCTCCTCCTCCTCCTCCTTATCCCTATCCTCCTCCTCCTCCTCCTCCTCCTCCTCCTCCTCCGACGACGACGACGACGACGACGACGACGACGACGACGACGACGACGACGACGACGACGATTCCTCCTACATCCTGCCCCTCTTGGGGTATATGACGGCTTCCCCCGCCCTTTGTTCTTCTGCATGCTCCCCCACTCCCCTGATCACCGCGACTACCCTGGGCATGGCTTCTGGATGGGCTGGTGGGGATACTTCTTCTTTTTTTCGGTCGCGGCCGCAAGCGAAGAGGCAGGCGGCGGGCAGAGTGTCCGGGCCAACGGGCAAGCCTAATTAGCTACCAGAGGCGCACAAGCCGGCCGGCCCACTCACAAAGCAGCCGCGAGGCAGTGGGGGGACTGACGGCGGGGGGCATCCTGGGAAGCTCGAGCACATGCACTGGACAAAATGTCGAGGAATTCGATGCCTGCCATGAGGCACGGCCCACACAGTGACAAGACGTGTACCTGAGCAACCGAGTCCGTCATTCTGGTGGGGATACGCGGAGCGTCAACAATTTGTCGAATGTCCGCGCGGATTTCTTAGATTGGCGCTGGACCCCCTTTAGCAGCGCATTCGGCGCCGCCCCCTGCGCGTTCCGCGCGGCAGGAAACGGGGCCCAACGCTGATCCACGAAATATGCGCTGACCTCCGACCGGTTATGAGTACGGGCTGTTGTTCTCCGAAACGAAACAGAATGTCCCGATCTTCGTCAGCATCATCCCGGGGAACGCCAGGGTCAGGTTGCAGCTGTCGGGGTCGATATCCTGGTTTTGCTGATGCCATGTCAATGGACACCCTAACAATCCGACCATTGAATGCAAGATTCGTTCAAACGATTTAAACTATGTGAATCATGTCCCAAGCATGCTTGAACCATTTTGAAAACATGTTTAAGACATGGAAATTGTTTGGCAACATGCTTCCTCACCATTGATCGTCCTCCACAATCCTGGTTCTTCATCATCTGCGTCATCCCATACATGAAGATGAGGCCGTAGATGACCCAGACGCCCTTCAGCGCGAGGCACACCATTACGATGGAGGGCGTTTGGCTCAGTGCCTTCGAAGAAAGCTGCGTCGCAGAGATCGCCATCTGAACCGCATCCCTCCGCACGACGCACAGCACCGCGTGGATCGCTACGACCACCAGGAGCATCCAGTTCTGGGTGAGGTAGTAAAAACCCGCCGCCGCAATTGCAAAACAGGCTCATTTGCAAACCTGCAAGCTCCACAGTCATTGTGCTACCTGAAGGAGCGCTGCATAAGGAACGAAGGATGTGTTTCTGGCCACGCCAAGCTCAGTCACGAACAGGTTACCCAACCTTGATCTAAGGAATATCCCAGCTACCAAAACCCTCCTGAACCCAACGCGCTCCTTATTTCAGCGGCTTGTCAGCGGCTTGACTGTACACAGACAGCTGCGCTTCGCGACGCTCAGACGTCCCGTCGGGCATCCGCCCGACCCCCCTTCTCCCCCCCTACACACACACTTGAAGATTACAGTTCTGAAGGCTGAGCTCGATACTGGTGGAACGGGACGTCGTCGAATCGTTGAAATATCGGCTTCTTCCCTCTCCCTCCCCCCCCACGACCTTACGAGAATGACTAAAACAAAAAATGCGTTTCGGCAGCGTGAGCCCCCCATACTGCCGCGTCCTCGTCAGGGCCCGCCTCTGCAGCAGCACGGGCAAATTCACGCTGGAGCGGGCCGACGTCATCTCATATCCAATCCCACCCCCCTCCAGGCGGCAACAAACAAGACTCCCCTTAGGCACAGGGGCCCCACGACACAGGACCGCCCGGCTTCAACGTGAGATCTCTGGGCCTCGTCGAGCACCAGCGCGGGTCCCCCCCCCCGCTCCTCTTCTCCACGGCGCCCTCTACCCCTACACCTGCTCCCATCGCTGCCGGCAACGCCCAACACCCCGAAGATGATGAAACCGTCCTACATAACTAGATTAATTCCTTTTCGCCAGAGCGAATTCGTGCATGCATTCATATGTTCGTGGCCTTCGGTGAAGAAGCCAAGCTACCTAATAATCCTAAAAATTATCGCCAGAGATCTCGACGTCGAGCTTCTCCACTATACTCTTCCACTCCTTTCTGATTCGCCTTAATCCTACTTACCGAAACGCCCCCACCTTGCCGTGGCGAATTCGTGCATGCATGCATGTGTTCGTGGTTGTCGATGATGAAGCCGCCCGGTCGAATTATCCTAAACTTTTCGCCAGAGATCTCGCCGCCGAGCTTCTTTACTACACGCGTCTGCTACATTATTATACGCCCTAATCCTACTTCCCGAGACGCCCCCTTGTCTATTGTTCATTTGCGCGTGCATGCATATTTCCTTCGTGGTTGCCGAAGATGAAGCTATCCTCTCTAATGTATTGATCCTTCCCGCTGGAGATACCGACGCCAATCGCATCCCATACATACTTTTTGTTCGCCCTCATCTTAATTCCCGAGATGCTGCCCTGTCCGTAGCGAATTCGTGCATGCATGCACCATTTCTTCGCGGTTGCCAATAATGAGAAGCCACCCGATCGAATTGTCCTAAATGCTCTATCCAGAAACCTCGCCGTCGAGCTTCTTTACTACACTCTTCTACTACATTCCTCTTTCACGCTCTAATATTAATACCCGAGACGCCCCCGTGCCCGCAGCGAATTCGCGCATGCCTGAATATGTTTGTTCGTGGTTGTCGACGGTGGCCTAGCGACCCGATGTCAGTAGCTCCCCCCCGACATCCCTACACCTACATACCACTATCCCTGCCGCAAAAGTCTAACCACACAACGATGATGAAGTCGACCTTGCTCCCAACAGTCATTTTGAAGGTTTGGCCGCAAAGCGGTTCTGGGACAGTCGCGGGGTTTGCGAAAGACTGCCCCCTCCCCGCAAACGGGGGCCAACACACACACACACACACACACACACACACACACACACGCACACAAATACACACACACACGCACTTGAAGCTTACAATTGTGGAAGGCTGAGCTCGATAGTGGTGGAACGGGAAGTTGTCGAACTACCGGCTTCTTACCCCTCCCTCCCACCCCACGACATTACGATGATAACTAACACAAAAAAGCGTTTGGCGCTTCGGCAGCGTGAGCCCCCCATACTGCCGCGTCCTCGTCAGGGCCCGCCTCTGCAGCAGCACGGGCAAATTCACGCTGGAGCGGGCCGACGTCATCTCATATCCAATCCCACCCCCCTCCAGGCGGCAACAAACGAGACTCCCCTTAGGCACAGGGGCCCCACGACACAGGACCGCCCGGCTTCAACGTGAGATCTCTGGGCCTCGTCGAGCACCAGCGCGGGTCACCCCCCCCGCTCCTCTTCTCCATGGCACCGTCTACCCCTACACCTGCTCCCCATCGCTGCCGGCAACGCTCAACACCCCGAAGATGATGAAGCCGTCCTACACAACGGTCAGGCGGCGAAAGCAAAGTCCGGGACGCGAACTAGGCGAATCAGCTAAGACAGGGTCTACCCCTACACACACAACGACAACAAAACGCACAAAAATATTGGCAGCACCCAAGGGTGCGCGGCCTCGCTGGATGCCTGCAGGGGCTCGCTCCGTCGCTCCGCTGCCCGCCCGCCCGCCCCAAGGGTCATGGGAAATAGGCGGCGACACGCGGAGTCCGTTCCAGGAGTTCCGAACCCCACAAGGTGCGCGTCTCTTGGAGGACCGCCTTCCGTCGGCCTTCCGCCGGCGTCGCCGCTACGGCCTTGCATCCGCCAACTTCTGGGCGGAACGCACCAAAAGGCGAGGCCCTCTCTCGAGCGCACCCTTTGGGCCTGCACAAGACAAGGGGCCTCGCCGGCCCTCCGAGGGTGCAGGATAGTGGCGACTGCTGCACTCTGGCAGCACTCCAACAGGCGGGGTCTCGTGTGGATTCGTGGGGGAGGGGGGGCGGGGGCGTTCCGCCAGACCGTTGCACATGCGGCAGCGACCGAGGAAGCGAGTTCCCAGCTTGGACACTGAGTGGGGGGCGCTTTGCCGGGCGCTTTGCCAGACCCCCCAAGAGGCGCAGGATGTAGGAGACCACAGCTGCACTCGGCAGCACTCAGGCACTCGAGGTCTCGTGCGGGTCTGTCGGCACCTCGCCGGACCCGCACAGGGCGCAGGACTGCACGGTTGGCAGCACACAACGGAGCCAGACGTTGTCTGGACCTGCCTGGGAGGGGGAGCCCCCCCCCCCGGAGCGCAGGAGAGTGGCAACGGCTGTGCGACTGGCCGGGCGCACACACGCAAAATGTCACTCGTGCCGGCATGGTGGCTCACTCCGCTGGACCCCCGCGGGCACAGGAAGAAGGAGAAGGGGCTGAGCGCCTTCGCCTTCTCCGCTCGGCTGGTGCGACCCTGGCCGATGCTGGATTGGGCGGGCTCGGCTGCGCCGAACCTGGTGGGAAGCGCGCTGGAGGGACACCCCCTTGCGATCGAAGATGCGTGAGACTCGAGCTTGGGGGACTCGAACCTGCCTGACGGGACGGTCCGAAAAATGGCGGGCCCTAGCCTGAAATGTGGCGCGAGCTCCCAGCACAGAGGTATCACGAAAAGTGGGCAGTCAAGATTCACGCCCAGACCGCCCAACATCGGCAACAACAGACGATGTCTGGCAATCTTGGCCTTACTTTTCCCCGATCAGGCCTCCCGCTTCCCTCGATCTTATGGTCTCCCCTCTTTCCTCCCTGGCCAAGCCCGCCCTGATGCACACAGACACACACACACACACACACTTACTTTTACGTCGTAGCGCGCCAGAGGCGTTCCGCGCGCGCGCCTGGGCGAGACCAGGACACGGCAACGCGAATTAGCCCGCATGCAGGAGGAGGGGTAAGGAAGGATGGCGGCCGCAGAGAAGGGAGCGGGGCGCGGGGGCACACTCAGGCAGCCAGGCTGCGGCGGGTGCGCGGGCGCGGCCGAGCTAAAGGGTAGCACCTGGCAGCAGCTGCGGGTCGGCGTAGCAGTACACCCAGGGGGAAACAGAAGCCACAGTGTGGGCATGGCCCAGCAAGTCGAAGAGCAGGAGCAGCCAGCGGCCAGAGAGGGGCACCAGCGGGGGGGGAGGCAGCGACATGGGAGCTGGCGGCGGCCAAGAGAAAGCGCGCCAGCGCTGCAGCAGGTGCTAGGAGCCCAGGGCGGCGGGTGGCGGAGCAGGCCAGCGGCGAGGCTGCGATGCGACTGGCCGAGCCGTCGCAGGGCACGGGGGCGATGGCAGATGCGCCGGAGAAGAAGGAGCGCCACTCCGTAGCCGGTACACGGCATCACAGCATGGAGTTGGGCGTCGCCCAATGCAAGTGGCGCACGGGCGGGGCCCAGCGAGGGCAAAGGACGTTCCCAGCAGGCCGTCACAAGAGAGGCCGAAAGGCAAAGTGGGAGGCGAACCGCAACGGCGGTGGCCCCCAAGCGAGGCAGCGAGACTGCGGCCGCATGCAAGACCACCTGTGCTGCGCAGGGGCTGCAGAGCGCGAAAACACACACACACACTCATATACACACACGCACCCGAGCCAAACTCACCCTGACGAGCTCACCCAGACGGTCTGAAGTCGCTCGGCCGAGCTCGCCCCGACTCAAACTGGCCAGCCGAGCTCGCCACGCACCGAACCAGCCTATTCCACGCACATCCCCAGACGAACTCGCCAAGCAGAGCTCGCCGCCAGACGAATTCGCCCCAGCCGAGCTCGCCCTCACCCCGACCGAATTCGCGCGTCGCTCCCGCTTCAGCGCTGGGCAGCTTCGAAACAGCCCAAGCCGAGCCCGCTCAACCCGAACTTGCCTGGCCCGACCTCGCCCGACGGACCTCTTGCGCGGCCAGTCTCGCCCGCCCAAGCTTGCCCGGCTGGACCTCGTCCAGCCAGACCTGGCCCAGGCCGAGCCTGCCTCGCCGACCCGGCCTGGGCGTTGGCGATAGGCCCCGATCGCCGAGAAAGGGCCCTCGAGAGGCCCCCGCCCCACAGGATCCCCGAGGAGACCATCGAAGAGGCCACCGAAGAGGCAGCGCCGCCACGCTGCTGCGCGGCTTCCCTAGGAACCCGGCGGCGGGCATGCGCGGAAGCGCAGACGCATACACGAAGGCCGCGGCGTTCAAGGCGAGGGTGCCCCAGATGACGACGGCCGCGGCGACGCGGAGGAGCGCCAGCCAGACGGTGCAGAGCAGGAGTGTACCGAACAGCACCACGACGGGCACCTCCACGTGCTTGGCCAGCAGCTCCCACACCCTCATCGGCGGGGTGCTCTCCGCGACCAGCTCGAGCGGGCGATGGTCGTCGGCGGTGAGGCGCTTGAGCTGGCAATGGCTGAACTTGTCCGCCAAGCCGCTGCTAGTGCACATGGGAAAAGTCACGCAGGCGACGCCTCCCTCGGCGCACCACTGCGCGGGATGCGGGAAGTCTGCGGGGCACGCTCCGGATGCATCGGGGAAGACCACGTTCTTCCCAACGATGACGAGCGCCACGAGGAGCAGCGTCAGCACGAGCTGGCCGTAGAAGACCAGGCCCCAGAACACCTGGCAACCGGTCATGGGGGGCCGCCCAGACAATTTCGGCACCGGCTCGGCAAGACTCAGGGCCCCCGCTGAGCTCGCAGCAGTGAGCCGGTGGGCGGTGCCCCCCTCGTGCAGCAGCTGCTGCTGCCGTTGCGCGGGCTGCGGAATCATCGCGCCTCAGATCCTGGGTGTCCTCGGAGGGACACAGTGCGCAGCCGCAGCGGCAAGCTAAAAGGCTCGGGCCTGATTAAGCTGAGGGTGATCAAGCCAGGCTGAATACGGTCGATTGGTGGGATGTCCCTGGGGGGCTGCGCCAAAATCAGAATCCAGAGCCAAAATCGGAATCCCTGAAGATCTGCACCAAAATCAGAATCCCTGGTTGGCTGGGGGCTCGACTCCCAAATCGCTCACATGCCAAACGAGAGCCGTTAAGTGCAATCACTGGTTGGCGGTATTAGGGCCGTACTGTTGATGATTGCGCACCCATGTTGGACTCGCATCAGCATGTGCAACTTATCCCTCCCATCCTTCGTACCTCCGTGAACCCCTGCATGTTCTAGCCCCGTCTCCAGGCAAGACGGCGCCTGCAGAATCTCCCGTGCCTGCGCAGCGAAAATTCGCTTCTTCACAGGAACCTCGCACAGGAAGGCGAGGACGCTCCTCCTCGAGGGGAGGCATGCGAAAAGAAGAATGGCTGGATGGAACTTGGGGAAGGGGGACTGTCATGAAGGAGAAAGGGCTGCGAAAGCAAGTAATACAGCTCAAAGAGGCACAGCAGCACAACACGCAGCAGCACACGGAGGACATAATCATGAAGGCAAAATAGCAGGAAACGATAAAGAGAACAGACACTGACTGTGAGAGAGTGGAGTGGGTGAGACCACTCCAAAGAATGTTGGGTGAGGGACATTGGTTCTGAGCGTGCAAGCTCAACGATGGGGCTGTAGTCTTTCCGACGGGCACGATGGAAGGCTGGTCTATCAACATCAACTGAAAACTTAAAATTCCAAGCAAGAATGGCAGGCGGGGCCTCGGAAGAAGAATGCGGAGGAGCAGGAGGATGAAGAGGATTTCGCCTCCCAAGCCGTTGGCGGGGACGGCTAATTCGCTGGGGGTTGCTGAAATCTTGAGCGGCGTGAACAGTGGCGACGAACATGCAGCAAGGCGAGGCAAAGGGTGCTCCTTGAGGCAGAAACGGCAACGACGGTTTCACCCGATGCCAAAGGCCGACCCAAGTACCTCAGCAAATGGCGGGTTCCGGAAACCCTGAACCCTAAAAAATGGCAATCTCTTGGAAGACATCGGTTTGCTTCCGCCGGCTTCCACCCGCGAGGGGCGCCCCAAGTATGCTTCCCTCGCCGTTCCGCCACCTTTCGTCAAGTACGGCAGGTTCGTGTCGTGCCGACCCCGGCGTTGGTTTCTGACACCGCGGGGATCGTTCAACCTTGAACGATCGGCCGTTTCCGCAACGTCCAATCGTTCAACATCGATCGATTCTGGGCCGCCCGCGGCGTTCAAGGTTGAACGCCGCTGGCGGGGTCGCCGACGGTCGACACGACGCGAACCTACCGTAAGAGATTCCAGCCCCTCCCATCTTCGAGGGCGAAGTCCTTCTTGGAACGCGCCACGTGGACCGTGCGATCTTCCAGAGCCTTCTCGAATCACAGCTTCTCATCTCTCTTCCACGGCGACGAGCTCCGCGCAGCCTCTGGGCGACGACTGGGGACCCGAGTGCACTTCGCACCCGAAGACAAGCACACCGCGCACGGCAAGAGCCTCGAACACTGAGCGGGGTCGACGGCGGCCGGGCAGCACATCGGACACGAGCAGATGCGCACTCGGCTGGAACTGCGGCTAATCCGAGGTCCGAATGTGGCCGACGCCAGGGCGAGATACCCTGAGCATTCCTTGTCACAAAAATGTTTGGCGGCGTGGGCCCCATACAGTGCGCTATTGCACAGTGGGCGTGCGAGCTATGTGGTGCAAGCTATGTGGTGCAAGCTGTGTGGTGGGAGCCATGGAAACTAAGAGGTGCAAGGTATGTGGCGTAATCAATGCGGTATGTGGTGGAAGGTATGTGATGCAAGATGTGTTGCCCAGTTGCGTAGAACCAGAAACGAGACCTCCTAAATGCAAGCGTAGCGCGGTGGGCCGGCAACGAGGCGGCCACGGGCGGCAACGCGGCGAAACCTGAGCGGGCTCCCCAAACCCGGTGGGCGGCAACGGGGCGGCCACGGGCGGCAAAGTGGCGAAACCTCGGCGGATCCCCCAAGCGCGGTGGGCGCCAACGAGGCAATGCGTGAGAGGCAGAGAGACGGCCACGGGCGGCTTGGCGGACGAAACCTCGGCGGACACGCCGAGCGAGCGGCAACGAGGCAGTCACGAGGCGGCCACGGGCGACAACGCGGCGAAACCTCGGCGGACCCCCCCAAGTGGGCGGCAACGAGGCGGTCATGGGCTGCGACGCGGCACCACCTCGGAACCCCCGAATGGGCGGCCACGAGGCGGCCACGAGGCGGCCGCGGCGACACGGCGAAACCTCGGCGGACCCACCCCCCCCAAGTGGACGGCAAGGAGGCGGTCACGAGCTGGCCACGGGCGGCGACGCGGCGAAACCTCGGCGGACTTCCGGAGTGGGCGGCAACGAAGCGGCCACGAGGCGGCCACGCGCGGCGACGCGGTGTCAGCGGAATCATCGAATCCCTTAGCGTCAGTGGCACAGGTGAGAGCCCCGAACGTGTGACCTGCTTCGACCGCCAAATCCCGCAATGCCGCCGCTCTGCCACACCAGCAGAAGTATGCAGGCAAGACCTCGCGGGGGGGGGCGAGGAAGCAGCCGCATCCGAACAACAGCCAAGACCATTATGAACTTGGCAGAAAGCTGCTGGGACTAACGATATGCGAAGACCCGTCCAGCCAAGATTGAAAAACCGCAACGGTCTCGTACATCGTCGGGCCGTTGCCGTGGTCGTCCTCGCCGCCGCCGTCGTGGCCGTCGTGGTCGTGGTGGTGGTCACGACGACGCACGCCGACCACGAAGGGGGAGGAGGCAGAGAGGGACGGGGGACAGAGAGGGGGGCGGTGAGGCGGACGGGGGACGGGGATGGTGACAGGCAGGACCGAGAGGATAATCCCATCAGCCCTTTACGGCCTGCGTGGTTTAGAGCGTCTCCTCTTCAAACCCCCTTCGCGGTACTCAACCCTGTCAGCATGTTGATGTTGTTGGTGATGTTGTTGTTGATGCTGTTCAAACGTGCAGAAGTCTCACGCGAAGGCCCGAGCAACGATACAAAGGGGAGGATCGGGTCGGAGCTCGGAGAGTGAGAAGACTATAGCGAAGCCGAGTGCGAGAAGCCGAGAATTGCAGAGTCTGGACGAGTACGGAGGAGAAGGAAGGACGGCGGAGCCCTGAGAAGGCGTCGAGGGGCTCGGACGGGGGTGGAGGGGTGCTGATACCAGCGGTACAGATGTAGCGGATGGTTAAGCCGCTGTTGACGATATACTGCTGCCAATGCGTGCTGCTACCCGTGGCGCTGCTACTACCGAGATTGATGCACCTGCCCATTCCTACTGTTGGCACGTACGCGACCACTAAATGCGACCTGGCCTCTCGACCCGAATCGCAGACCGTTGAGTGCAAGCAGGGTTCTTCGGCAACATATCATCGTGAATCCGATCGCTGCTGTCCAGCAGTCTACATTGAATTGGGCCCCCTGTCCATCTGGGAAACATCCCGTGTGGTATTCTGGCACGCGCAAGCACTCCCTGGGGAAGCGGCCCAGTCTCCCGCCGCGCCACCTGTGGTATGTTCGGCGGAAGCCCAAGGGAAGAGAGCGATCTGGCAATCCATCTGCAGTCCTATGGCCGACGTCCAGCCCAAGCGCGGTGTTAGCCAGGAGCAGCTTCTCGTGCTGCTGCGCCTGCTGCCACCCAGTCGGCTTCGGCTCAATCCCTCTGACGTGCATCCGACCCCCCTGCCATCTTTGCCTTAGTCCTCCGTGTCACCCATTCTCCTCTGGATCCCCCCAAACCTCGCACTACGACAGTCATGATAACCCGCCTCGCACGCTCTGGTGATACAGCCGAAACACGCACCGCAAATGGGCCACGGGCGGCACCAGAATCGACCCGTGGGCCCCGCCCCACGCACAAGGGACACCAGGAGGAGCGGGTGCCGATGCCGCTGCTTGGAGCTGTCTGCAGGTCTGAGGTGGCCCAGTATCTCAGGGCTCGTTTCGATTCCTCCGATTCGATTCGATTCGAGTTCGATGGCTTCCGATCCCGATTCGATTCGGCTTGGGATTTCGATTTGGGCTCCGATTTCTCATTGGAGGCCTACGAGCCTGCCGATTTCCGCCGATTCGACTTGTTCCGACTCGGCCCCGATTCCTCTCCTCGAGTTTCACTTAGGAAGGCACGCCCGGACGTGAATCGCAACTCTGGCGCAGGCGCATGCAGCAGGGCACGGCGTGGGCTCCTGCGGGGAGCGAAGTATTCAACAGTCTGGGGTCTGGGACGATTGAGCCTCGCCGAGGTGCTCCAGAACATGTTTTAGACATTCCGCATGCGGGTCGCTCATTGTCGTGCCACGCTGTGTGTCTGCTCTGCCTGTCATTGGCGCAACTTCGGGAGCCGCGCACTTGGCCGGCGCCGTCCACACACGGGCTCCAGCACCACATCCCGCTCTGAGTTATGCGTTGCGTCATCTTTGGGGAGCTTCTAATACGCCCCGGGTGGTCTGTGCAAAAGGGTACATACCCAGAGGGGGCCCCAGGGGGCCCTGGCCAACACCCAAGACCGCCCCAAGACAGCCCCAAAGTGCTCCCAAGGCTGAGCCGGAAAGCCGAGTCACCCCGGAGTGGAGGAGGATGGAGGATCACATAGGTTGTGCACTACTTTCGTCAGGAGCTCCACGTGTTTTCGGCCTTGGGCAGTAGTGGGGCAACCTCATTGGGGCCTCAAGGTGGTCTGCATGCGCGAGGAGCGCCAGATGGGATCCCATGGATCCCATGGACGGAGACCAGAGGCCACCGAATCCACTTGTGAAGGCCATCCCCCGCACACGGGGACCACAAGCGCCCACCTGCCACAGGCAGCCCGACTCACATTTGAGGCCGCCCCACATGTCTGATTTGCAAGGCCTGCTGGCGCGTCGGGCATCCCTGCATAGGATGGGCCACGAGGGGGCCACACGGCACCGCACCAGCGTTTGAAGACCGGCCCCCCCCTTTCTTGAGAGGGGCCGTGGGAGGGGGGGCCCTGTTTCACTTCCAGGGAACAAGGGCTCCTAAGTTCGCGCTTCGCGCTGCGCGAAGCGCGAATAACTTCGCGCTCTCGCGCCGCCCTCCCAAAGGGAGAATAGGAGGACGAGGAGGAGGGGGAGAAGGAACGAGGACCGCGAAGCGCGAAGCGCGAATAACTTCGCGCCCTCGGGGGAGCCCTTGGGGAACCAATCCTTGGCCCTCGCCAAGGGCCCAGCAGGAGTCCGCTTCCGGAGGGCGCTGCGCAGCAGACAGAAGGGCTTGCCTCAGAAGGCCACCCTCGCGCGTGCGCGCGCCAAGGCCACTGGAGGCCGTGGCCCGCGAGGAAGCCGAGCCTCACACTGAAGACCCCTGCGCACACGAGGGGCAACGCGGGACTACAGCCCACAGGCAAACTGCGGCAGGCTCGCGCTGCAGCGCGAACCTCCGCCGCCTTCTGATACCGCGTGGACCGTCCAACCCTGAACGACCGCAGCCAGCTCTCTGGCAGCGCAACTCGTTCGATATCAGTCGATCCACGGCTGGCGGCGTTCAGCCTTGAGCGCCTTGATCCACCGCCGCCGCGTCGACACGATACGAACCTGCCGCAGTCCACCCTTGAGCGCCATCCCGCCTGCGAGGGGGGCGCGCGGAGGTCCGGCGAAGTCACGAGGAACCACGGGCCACGAGGAGCCGAGCGGGGCCGTGGGCGGCCGGGTCGGCTCCCCGAGTCCCCGCCCAGGGCCCCGGCCTCCTCCCGATTGCCCCTCCGAGAGCCCTCCGCCCCCTCCCCCCTCCCTCTGCTACTCCCGCCTCACTGGCCCACCCTCCCCCACCCCCACCCCGCAAGCTCCCCCCCGCACGCCCACCACCCGCACGCCCACCACCCGCACCCCCGGGCCGTCCCGAGCACTCCCCGGGCATCTGGCACGCACCTTGACCCACGCGCGCAGCTCCATGAAGCGCTCCCGGTAGTCCACCCGAGGGTCCTGCGTGCACACGGGGGGTGGTCAGAGGAGCCGATTTGCCCCCGCCTGATTGTTGTTGTTGTTGTTGTTGGCGGCCTCTGCCCGAATAGAAGCCAGCTGGCTCGGCGAGCTTCGTGGACGTGCAGTGAAGAGAGCGTTCGAAGAAGACACGAGGTGATCCCTGACAGGTTGATCAGATTGATCCATGATCTGGCCCTGACCCTGCTCCTGATCATGGCCCTGGCCCTCATGTAGCCAGCCCGGTTGGCCCAGAGTGTGTGGGGGGGGCGAGCATCGGATGAAAGCGGATGAATCGTCCCGATGCCGATTTATGGACGGATCAACGGCATGATCAAGCCGTGATCACGTCGAAAGTCCATGAGGGGCTGTCGAAAAAGGAACCCAGCGCCTTGTGTAGCCGATTCGCGGGCCGAGTCAATGTTATGTACCGGCGTATGGCCGAATCAGGACAAAGTTGAACGCCGCCCGCACGCAGAAGAGGCGATGGAAGATTGCAAATTTGACGTGCAAAAATCTGCATCAAACTTCAACTGGGGGAGCGAAGCGTCGGAAAGCAGACATGAACCGTGTGCGATGCGGCAACCCCACCCACGGATACACTCTGAGACAAGCGAGGCCCAGCACATGGAGCGTATGGAATTACGCCGTCCGCAGAAACCGCTGCGACATAGTCTCACTACGAACAGCGTGCATGAAGACCACGACATCAGATTGGAGCAGCCCGACTGCCGCAAGGCATCGCGACCGCGGGCGACGGTAAGGGATCAGCCCCACATGTGGCCTAGTGCTTGAGCAGCCGCCGCGTCCAACTTCCAGAGGACTCCGTCTAGCCGCAGGGAAGGTGGCTGCCGCGAGGGCGGCCCTTTGAACAGCAATTGGAATTAATCCTGGCTCCCGATACAGCCACGCAAATAACTTGCCGTCGTAGCCATTGGCTCGAGCTTACTTCCGATACCCAAAGCTATGTCACTCTTGTCTTCTCAGCGCGATGGCGGGCGGTGCGACTGCAGCGAACACAGCGTCAACCAATGTTTTCACTACACCAACTCGTTCGCATACGCGGCAAGCCGGGACGCCTTTGGGAGGGGAGCGCAATCGACGTCAGCGCCGTCATAGTCCTTCGCAGGCAATGGACGGCCTCAAAGATGCTTCGCCACCTCGGCCTGAGGTGCATATCATGGCATAATCTAGCACCCTAGATCGTGACGATATCTCGCTCGAAAAGTTCGCAAAGCTATTGGACACCAAACTGAAAGCGGAGCTCAGCCCGATCACAAACACAGCGCAGGCTATGCAAAACGATTTGAAGACGTTACGTGACTCAACTGAGACACCACAGACATCATTATCTGAAGAAAGCAGAGCAAGACGTGAAGAAGGAGATGAACGATTTGAGGGGCCGGGGGCTAAGCAGTTTCCACAACAAAGACGATGCAGAACGCTGGCTTCTGGATCAGTTCTGGACAGCATATAGCCCAGCACCTTCGGAGACAGATGTAAAGAGAGAAGAGTTTCAAGGGAAGCTTTTTGCAACACATGCAACTCCTGGAGAATCACGGGCTGTCGTCAGCAAGATGAAGAACGCAGCTATGAACTACAAGGGCACGAAGATGTTTGCTAAACTGGGCCTCCCTTTGGAGACAAGGGTATTGCGATAGTTTCTGTATAGTGGCAAGCAGTCGTTGACGAACGCATAACTTGATCGGAAAGGTGTATCGGTTGATCTTGATCCTCATGCTCTCCTTTGCGGTACCGAGGTCGCTTTCGCAGCGAACGTCGACGAGTCGAAGCTCGTCGTAAAGTTCGAAGCTGGACGGTCCGAAGATTTGGAGAACAACGACGATTTCCAGAAAAACAGCACCGACCTTGAGGAAAAATTGAAATCTCGCGAAACACCATCAAGAGGACTCGGAAAGGGCAAGGGTCCACGCCCAGAGTAGGAAATACCGCCGTCGAGCACTACGTTTCACCCGCCGCTAGAGGTAAGGACCTTCTGCAAGAATGCGCGCATCCACATCGGCGCAAGACTGGTCGACATGCTGACCGAGCTCCGCGGTCTGTCTTGGGGTTCTGTTTGCTTTAGTAAGACGAGGGCCACTTCTGCAGATGCTGTTCTCCACGGCGGACATCGGCTATTCACTCGTCGTGGCGAAGCCTATGGTGGCGTGGGCATCCTAATGCATGCGCGCTGGGCAGGCGCAATCACTTCAAAGCAAATTTCGGAGATAGAGCTGTCGGGATTCGCCCCATTATGGAGGGAGTCAAAGTCACAGCACTTGCGTGTTATCTGCCACGTGCTGGGCACAGCGCAGCCGCACTTGATGAAGCATACCGTTACCTTGGTGAAGCCGTGCGTTGGGCATCGACGTTCAGCTCTTGTTTTGTTTTGGGTGGGGAATTCAGCGCGCAACTGCATCGCGGAGCACGCTCTGACAAACTATTGCAATTTGCTTGTCATTTCAATTGACGCATTGCCAACGAAGTAGAAAAAAAGACAGCCAAAGCGACGCATGCACATTAGAGAGCAGCATCGGCATCAGAAGAAACACCCGGGTGGCGGGTCGCAGAAGCAGCTGCAACGAATGATTTGGATCTTGGCTCCGATCACAGAGCGGTGAGAGCAGCTCGTCCAGAATAGGCGCCGTAAACGACGTGGCCGGACCAGAGAGAGGAAGCCCGAGCAACAAGTTTTTCAACCAAAACCGCAATTTTGATCGCTGATGGCCGAGGCGCTGGACCAGGAGTGCCCTGGAACTGTGGAGCAAATCGAAAACATTACCGCGACATCTGCTGCATGCTGCGGGGCTGCTGCTCCGGCTCCGGATCCAAATGAGGAACAGCGCGCTGCTGACCCGGCTCCGACACGAACGAAAGTCGTGCAGAGACAAAGAAAGACGCAGCCAGCTCTCCAAGGACATCCAGAAAGAAGCGCGGAAGATGGCGCGGCAATTCCAGACGGAGAAATCGGATGATATCCTACAGAGTTTCCGCGGTATCTCGGAGCTCGGCTCGATGCGTCAACGCCCTATTGAGCGGCCGGCGCCGGCGATCAAGCCGCTGGGAGCCATGGCAGACTTCATGGAGGAGTTGTCTCACAGCGACGCTGGTTGTCCCGAGTTTTCTAAGGAACTCATTGGCATGGTCCCTGAAATCAATCCAAAAGAGCTGCAGGGTGCCGTCCAGGAGATGGCGAGAGGAAGATGCATTGAATTCCGATAGAGATGATTGCAGGTGCAGGCCAAGAGCTGCTGCAGTACTTGACCAAAATCTTCCACAGCATCCTAATAGAAGGCCAAAAACCTTGACGACTGGCGCGTCACGTTCTTCACGCTGCTCCACAAAACAAGTGATCTGACAGATCCGGCGACTTGGCGTCCGATTGCAATTTTACGTGTGCTGTACGAGCTGTTCGCGAAGGTCTTGCGCGGTCGGCTTGAACTAAAGCTTACAAGAGCAGCAAGCAGACGAACAAATAGGTTTCGTGCCGGGCAGGGGCACGGAGGACGCTTAATCCACTCCGGAGGCTGCCATCGCGAGGTCGATCGAATTCCGCGTGCCCCTGTTTTCTTTTGCGAGCCTGCAGTTAAAGGAGGCATTCGACAGACTCCAGTGGGCGCAGTTCTTCGAAGCTCTTGAGGTACAGGGTGTATCTCGGCCGTACCTCGCGCTCCTGGCAGGGATCTACGGCGGTCCAAGGGGCAATATGAACAGCCAACGTCTCTTCGATACCCGGCGGGGTGTTCGACAAGGTGACGTTCTGAGTCCGTTGCTCTTCAGCGCTGCTCTAGCGCTTGTCGTGAAAACTTGGTCACGTCGTCTGTGTGCTCGAGGCATCAACATCGCACCCTGTCTATCTGGTCGTCGTTTGACTCACGTTAGGTTCGCCGATGACCTTATCATATACGCCACTAGCCTGAACGAATTTACGTTGATGCTAGATTATCTCGCCGAAAAGCTTCACTGGGTCGGCTGAGAGCTGACTGCGAAGAAAAGCAATACATTCACTTTTGGATAACGATTTCGGCCAAGGTAGCAGCCCGATATTTGTCGATGCAGCCGGCGGTCTCATTCATGTCGCCATAGAAGGCGATTTCTACGTGTACCTCGGCAACAGGTATCCGGGCAACCTGAAGACCAGGAGAAAGACGACCTTGGCAAACAGGCTGCGCTGCGCATGCACGAAGTACCACAAGTTCCGGTCTGCTCTGACCAACCAGCACGTGGATCTGCTTCTCAGATTTCGCCTCTTTGACAGCATCGTCACGCCCACTGCGCTATATGGCCTCGCGACAGCTCCCCTGACAGCTGCCGACTTCGACAAGCTCGCTTCCACGTAGAGACACATGATGAGATGCATGCCTGGCTTCGTTAAGCACTCAATCGATGAATGGTCAGACGTGTAACTACAGGCGTCTTCGAGACAAAATTCAACAAATCATACAGCACAGACCGATTCGCTTACGGGGAAATGAATTGCGCAAGTTGGAGCAAAAGCTACACTCAAAGCTGCAATGCCCTGGCCGGAACGATCTTGCGCATATGTTTGCCAGGTGGAGCCCTGGCGTCGTCGCTGATTCAAAGCTGCCTGCAAGGCCGAAGCGTTCCGGAGGCAGGCCAAGCACGCCTTGGGACCGCTTCAAATTGACCGGTTTCCAACCGTGTCCAGATTGGACTGGGCCTAGTGCTCGATCGGGGATTGTGTGTGTGTGTGTGTCACTCTGCAGCTGGTCGGGACTTGCTCTAGTCTTGATTCGGCAACGTGGCATGCACAGTGTATCTGTGGATATGTACGCAGCACGCACCCTGCATTGGTTTTAGCCACGGCGCCGGGTGAACACACACACACACACACACACACACATGCGCATACATCCATCGTTGCAAATATACACCTATATATACATATGTGCAACACATTATGCATGCATGCGTCTATGTGTATATATATAGATATGGGTGTTTATGTATGCCTGCGCCAGTATGTAAACCTATACACATACGTCGTTGCCAGCGTTGGCCCCGAACAGCAAATCATAGCACTGTAAAGGCAGATGGCGCAAGACTACGTGGTGCAAGCTGTGGCGCAAGCTACGTGGCGCGTTCCATATGGTGTTAACCTCTTCCCTGATTTCGTGCCGTCTCCTCGAGCTCCAGCCTGCCTGGCAGCCTGCCAGAGGGCTGCTGCTGCGCCTCGCGCGCGTGCGGAGAGCGGCGGCAGCGCTGCAGGAGGGAGGGGGAAGCAGAAGGGGATCCATATCTCCGACGACCATAATATGATGTTTCCTATCTGGGCGACTCTTCCTCGATTTCGGCCTCTGGGGCTCGTCATCGGGCCCCTGGGCCATCACAAACAGATCCAGGACCAAAAACTGGCCCTGGTAAAGGGGTCGGGACCCCTGGCGCATCGCATTGATAAAAAAACATCGCCAGATGTCTGGGGGAGGACAGCGGCGTCGATGCGGGCAGAGAGGGAAAAAGGGAGAGCGGGGAGACGACCAGGACGCTTGGGGGAGAGGGCGGAGGGCGGAGGGAAGAGGGCGACAGAGGGAGCGAGAAAGGAGGATCATGCAGATAATGCGGACAAGACGTCCAAAGCTCCGTGACTACAGTGGAGCCTGAAATGGTCAGCGGGGCGACGGCGTGAGCCCCTGCCACCCCTACCCGAGGAGCGCCCTCAAGGAAAAACACTGCCCAAAATCCCGCCAGCCTCTGGGCGTAGGTGGTCTAGGGAGGCTCCTCTTCCAACCCCCTTCTTCCCCTTCGGGGAGGGGTTTACCCCTCCCCCTACCCCCGGCTCCAAAATTGGCCAAGAAAGCTCAAAGCTGGGCCCAAGAGGCTTCCAAACCCGTGGTGTCTGCAGCGATCTTACGCGACATGCTGACATCGCGGTGCTACGTATGTGTTGGGCGGGCGGGTGGGAGTGAGCAAGGCGGCTTCCCTACCCCCTCCCCTGGACCTGGACTGGGGGGCTCGCGAGCGGTCAGAGCATCCGAAATGGCCCAAGACGGCTCGAAGAGGGCCCCAGAGAGCCGAAGATTGCAGGGCCCCCGCGCTGCGGGAGCTCCCAGCAAGCTCCAGCAGCGCCCACTAGTAGGGCAGCCGGGGCCGCACCAGGCGCGCCGTGCGGCGCACCGCCTCGGGGGCCAGGAGCCCCTACGACAGCAGACGGGCCCCGGTACACGTCACCCGCCGCGCCCTCGGTACAGGCTGCGGGTGCTGCACTTTGCGGGCGCGCGTTGCAGGCCCGAGGGGGCCCGTGCCAGCCCGTCCCCCCGGGGAACGCGCCAGCCCCCCGCTCGGGTTGCGAACTGGGCGAGGGTCCTGGGGAGACACCTACTCCAAGATCGCCGCCCCACAGGGGGGCGCGGGCGCCCAGCCCCCCCCCCCCCCCACACCGCCCTCCGCCAGTCCGGCGGCCTCGTCCCTGGCTCTACTTCTGCCCCGCTGATAATGCGGCACCGACCACTCATGGGCTCCCCGGCTATCCCGATGTGACTCGCTGGTGTGCTCACTGGGCCCCCAGAGCGAGGAAGGAGGAGGGATGGAGGAGGAGGAGGAGGAGGAGGAGGAGGAGGAGGAGAAGGAGGAGGAGAAGGAGAAGGAGGAGGAGAAGGAGGAGGAGGAGAGAGGAGTAGGAGGAGGGAGGTTGGGAGGGAGGGGAGGAAGGCGAGGAGACAGGGAGGGGAATGGAGGGTGAGGTAGAGGCTCGAAGGAGAGTGGAGCGAGGCGCGAGGGGGGAAGGAATCTGGGGGGCATACGGCGCGGAGCGCCGAGCACGCGGGACCTCCGAGCACGGGGGGGTGGGGAGGCAGGGAGAAGGGGGGGAGAGAAGGGGGTGGGGGGACGAGGGGTGGGGAGCGGGGAGGAGCCCTCGGTGAGGAAGGAGAGGAGGGAGGGGGCGTCGTTTCGCGCCCTCGCGCCCGCGCAAAGGCCCCCCCCCCACCGCAGAAGGGCACGCGCTCTCTGCCCCAGGCCCGCGATTCGCGCGCGGCGCTGGAGGCGCGGTGACCTTCGCGCGCCCTGCAGGCGGGCGAGACCTGTGGCGAGACAGACCCGTCCTCCCCGCCAGGGGGGGATGGGCCGTCGGGGAAGCGGGCCACGCCACGTCCGTCCACAGATCGATCTGTGATGGCCCCAGCCCCGAAATCGGGCGAAATCGCCCGGTGTGGGAAAATGTTGCAGCGCCCAGAGCATCGGCATCCTAACTGCATCACAATATCGACCTGGGACACACGAATAAATACACACAAATAGCAGGATTCTACATATTTTCCCATAGTTTCTGGGTTGTCTCCCCCCACTCTTCCCATATTTTCCTTTTCTTTCTTGGGAATCGACGATTCATGGTGCCTGTCTGTGTGTTCCCCTCCTGAGATGAGGTGCCGCTGCCTGTCCTTCGCGCCCCACTCGGGCGGCCAAGGCGAGACCCCTGCTCCCCGCCAGGGGGAGAGGGGCCGTCGGGGAAGCGGGCCACGCCACGTCCGCCCACACAGGGGGAGGGGATGGGGAGCGGAGCGGGGCAGGGCAGATTCGGGCGGGTGGCAATGGGGGGTGGCCCAAATGGGGGGGGGGAGAGAACAAGGACCCTAGAAAGGCGCCCTTCGGGGCCCCTTTTGGGGCACCAGCCGGCTCCAAAGCGGGCCCTGAAGGGGCCCCCCTGTGGGGCCCTCTTCTTCACCCCCCGGTGCCGCCCGCCCAACACACATGGGGGGGGGGGCACGACAAGGTACCACCGCCACCGCTCCCCGGACCTCTCCAGTGGTGCGTTCTGCCTCGCCTCTCGGGGCGAGTGCCGTCGCCGCGGCGAGGGCGGGGCAGCGGCAGCGGCGCGCCCCGTCCTCTCCCGAACCCAGCAGGGGGGGGGGGGGGAGCGGGGGGCGGGGCAGGGGCAGGGGCGGACGGGGGCGGGGGGCGGCACGCTGCAGGGGCGAGGTCTGGGCGGCGGGGGCGGGGCCCGGGGCGAGGAGGGCGGCAGGGGCGGGGAGAGGCCTGGCCCACAGCCGGTGGCAGCCAGGGCGTGCGGGGTGAGGGGAGGGGAAGGCGGTGGCAGGGGCGGCGGGGGGGCGAGAGGGACAACCAACAAAGAGAAAAGCAAGAGAGGGAAGAGAGGGGAGGTGAAGAAAGGAAGCGGAGGGGAGGTGAAGGCTGGACGGCCAGGAGGATGGATGTCGGAGGGGAGAAGAAGGACAGGCAACGGTAGCGGTAGCGGGAGGCAGTGGGAGGGGAGGGGAAAAAAAGGGAACTGGGGAGAGAGCCGATTAAGAGTCAGCATTGCCACGCAGCCCGCTACCATACCATCCATCCCAATGGAGGTTCCAAGATGGAATTCAGGCTCAGGTTACCGCAATGACCCCAATCGGCTTGGCAATGGAAGCACGCATCCCTCCAGCGTCCCCATTGCCTCCGCCTTACCGAGTCCCTTCTCTTTTGATTTCCCCTGGCTTTTATCAAGAAGAAGCGTCATAAGTATTAACTGCTGGAGGACTGCGTGCATCTCTTGGATCGGCGATGGAGGACCCCTCCACCCTCCCTGGCGCGCGTAGCGCGCCAGGTGGGACCAGCGGCCGATCCAAGAAATCCGCGCAGAGCTCCGAAAGTGCATGCTTGCACGATTTTCTGCTTATCGGCGATCCCCTGCCCTCTCTCGCACTGCACCACTTGCAGCTTCGTCGAAGCCAGCTGCGATCCGCAGTTTTCGCCCTCCCCCCTGGTTCTCACTCCTGCCGCCCTGGGATCCGACGCAGCGAACAAAAACAAAACGTAGCTGGAGCCGGATCGATCTGTGATGGCCCTGGGCCCGAAATCGGGCGAAATCCTCCGGTGTGGAAACATTGCAACGACCAGATCATCGACGTCGCGATCGCATCACAATTGGTAAGGCTTCGGGTTGCGCGCAGACAGCCCCCCCCAGGTAGTCCCAGCTGGCCTCAACAGGCCCCCCGAGTAGTCCAGGGCGGTCTCAACACCCTAGCGCCGCCTCCGGCGGCACCCCTGGGGCGCTCCGCGCCCCAGGGTTTGGGGGTTGAGACCGCCGCGGACTACTCGGGGGGCCCGTTGGGGCCCGCTGGGACCACCTGGGGGGGCCTGTTGAGGCCAGTCAGGACTACCATGGGCGGCCGCCTGCGCGCAACCCGAAGACTTACCAATCACAACACCGACCCCCCAGAGCAGACCCTTCTTAGGAAGGCACCAACTATACACCAACACCGATCCTGGCCAGGATCGGTGTTGGTGTATAGTTGGCGCCCTCCGACTTCTATCCCCCGGCCCAATCCTCCATCCCGAGCAGTTGTTTGCTGGCCCCCGGGACCCGGCGAGGGACACGGGAGGCCGACCTCCCCCCTCGTCTGCAGAGGCCTCCTGGCCGGGGTCGGAGGACCGCGCCGCTTCGCCGATGCATCGGCGATGCATCGGCGATGCATCGGCGATGCACTGGCGATGCATCGTCGACGTCGGCGATGCATCGGCGACGTCGACGTGATACAAATCAGGCTGCACATCGAGCCGCATCGGCGATGCATCGGCGATGCGGCGCGACCCCGTCTAAGAGGCCCAGAGCCTGACCCGACCCTCCCGCCGGGGCCTCAGGCGTTGGGGCATCCGAGGACGCCTTGATCGCCGCCGGGGCCGCCGCCTCGGCGGGCTGCTGGTGGACTGGCTCCACGGCCGGGGCTGCCCGCTGCCGGCCCGCGTCCAACTCGTGCGCGCCGCCGTGCCGCGGGGCGGGCACCTGGCTCTCCCCGCGGCTTAAGGCAAGAACTCCCTGTAGCTGGCCTTCGACCCCAGACATCTCGGGCGGGCGGTCGCGAAGGGTGACCTGAATGAGGGGTGAAGAGAAAGGCCCTACAGGGGCACCTTAGGGCCCCTTTGGGGAGCCAGCAGGGGCCCAAAAGGGGTCTTATGCCCCTTTGGGGCTTCTTTCTTCACCCCCCATTTAGGCCACCTCCCATTACCACCCGCCCGAACATCTGGCGTCGACGCCCAAAATCGAGACGACCAGTTTTGAATGCCAAAACCTTCGGAAATCGGTGTCGGGCCACGGAGCCGTCAAAAAGACTACTCGGGATTCAAAACTGGCCCCAGGGAAATGGTCGAGAGGTCCAGGGGCCTACGTCTCGCCGATGTTTTGTTTGTTCGTTGCTCGCCCCGTGCCGGGGAGTTTGGGACGGGCGGGGCAGCAGCGGCTGCAATGTGCAAAGACAAACAACAACTCCGCGTGACACAACGATCAGTAGACTTGCCCCTGCGCCTGCTCGGCCAAAGCCTGGGGCGGCCCCCTCTCGCCCTAGTTTTTCCCTGCGCCTGCTGTGACTACCTACCAGACCACCCCAACCCAACCCGAAGACCCGAATTTGACCAGAATTTCGGGTTGGGGGGGATACGGATTCCATGTGTTTGTTCAATGTTCCCCGACCCCCCCACTGGAAATCGAGGATAAATATGGGCCTTCGGGTTGGGTTGGGGTGGTTTGGTGGGTGGTGATGCTGGGCCAACGACTGGGGCGCCCCCTCCCGCCCTCCCGCCCTAGACTCATTCACAACGCTTGCTGGACCAACGACTGGGGCGCACCCCTTCCCGCCCAAGACTTTTCCTTGCGCCTGCTGGGCCGACGTGGGGGACGCCCCCCTCTCCCGCCCTGGACTGTTCCGCGCGCGTGCTGGGCCAAAATCTAGGGCGCTCCCCTCCCGCCCTACACTTTTCCTTCGCCTGCTGGGCCAAAGTCTAGGGCACATACACACACACACACACACACACACACACACACACGCCCTGGACTTTCCCTTACGTCCGCTAGGCCAAAGGATACGGCACCCCCCCCGCCCTAGACTGTTCCACGCGCCTGCTGGCCAAAATCTAGCGCGCACCCCTTCCGCCCTAGACTGTTCCGTGCGCCTGCCGTGCCAAAGTCTAGGGCGCCCCACGCCTTAGACTTTCCTTGCGCATGATGAGCCAACGTCTAGGGCCCCCCCTTCCCGCCCTCGACTTTTCCTTACGCCCGCTGGGCCAAAGTCTAGGGCGCCCCCCTTCCGCCCTAGACTTGCCCTTGCGCATACTGGGCAAAAGCCTGGGGCGCCCCCCCGCAGCCGAGATTTGTCCATCCGCCTGCTGGGCCAAAGTCTAGAGCGCCCCCTCGCGCCCGAGACGTTCCCCGACGCCCGCTGAGCCCAAGATAATCGAGGGCGCCTGCTGGGCCAAAGTCTCGGGCGACCCCTCCCGCCCTGGACGTTTAATGTTTTTCTCTACGCCTGTTGTGACAACGTCTAGGGCGCACCCCACACGCCCTGGACTGCTCCCTGCGCCCGCTGGGCCAAAGTCTGAGGCGCCCACGTCCAGCCCTAGACTGTTGCGTGCGCTTGGTGGGCCAAAGTCCAGGTCGCCCCCTCCCGCCCTACACGTTCACGTTTCCCTGCGCCTTCTGGGCCCCAGTCTAGGGCGCCCCCCTGCCGCCCTAGACTTTGACGTGTTCCAGGCGCCTGCTGGGCCAAAGTCCAGGGCGCCCCCCTCCGGCCTAAACTTGTCCTTGCTCCCGCGCTAGACTTCCAGGGCGCCCCCATACCGCCGCGACGCCCTAGACCTTTTCCATGCGCCTGCTAGGCCACAACGTTTAGCCCCCCCTTCAATGTTTCCCTACGCCTGCTGGCCCGCCCTGTGTCTTGTTCCATGCGCCTGCCTGCTGGGCCAAAGTCTAGGACGCACCCCCACGCCCTAGACTGTTTTCCATGCGCCTGCTGGGCAAAGTCTAGGGCGTCCCCGACCGCCCCAGAACTTTCCCTGTGCCTGCTGGGCCAAAGTCTAGGGCCCTCCCTCCCGCCTTAAAGTTGTGCCTTCGCCTGCTAGACCAAAGTCTAGAGCGCCCCCTGCCGCCCTAGACTTGTCCTTACGCCTGCTGGGCTGAAGTCTAGGGCACCCTCTCCCGCCCCAAACTGTCTTCCTTACGCCTGCGAGGTCAAAGCCTACGGCGCCCCCTCCCGCACTTAACTTTTCCTTGCGCCTACTGGGCCAGCATCTAGAGCGCCCCCCTCCCGCCCTGGACTGTTCCTTACGCCCGCTGGGTCAAAAATCTAGGGCGCCCTCTCCCGCCATAGACTGTCCCTTATGCCTGCTAGGCCAAAATCAAGGGGCCCGCTGGGCCCACGTCTAGGGCGCACCCTCCCACAAGACACGTATTTGCCTTACGCCTGAGGACCAAAAAAATTGGGACGCCCCCTCCCGCACTGAACTTGTCCTTGTGCATGCTCAGCCAAAGTCTAGGGCGCCCCCCTCCCGCCCAGACTTTTCCATACGCGCGGTGGGCCAAAGTCTAGGGCGTCCCCTCCTGCCCTGGACTTCTCTTTACGCCCGCTGGGCCAAAGTCTAGGGCGCCCCCCTCCCGCCCTAGACTCCTCCGAGCGCCTGCTGGGCCAAAGTCTCGAGCGCACTCCTCCCGCCCTGGACTTTTGCGTGCGCCTGCTTGGGCCACATTCCACGGCGCCCCGTCCCGCCCTGGACTTTTCCGTACGCCTGCTGGGCCAAAGCCTAGGGCGCCGCACGACCTAGACTTTCTTTGCGCATGATGGGCCAAAGTCTAGGGCGCAGCCCCTTCCCGCCCTAGACTTTTCCTTACGCCCGCTGGGCCAAAGTCTAGGGAGGCCCCTTCCGCCCTAGACGTGTCCTTACACATGCTGGGCTAAAATCTGGGGCGCCCCCCTGCCGCCCTAGACTTGTCCATGCGCCTGCTGGGCCACATTACAGGGCGCCCCGCCCCACCCTAGACTTTTGCGTGCGCCTGCTGGGCCAAAGTCTAGGACGCCGGACGCCCTGAACTTTTCCTTACGCCTTCCGGGCCAAAGTCTAGGGCGCCTCACGCCCTAGACTTTGGCTTACGCATGCTGGGCCAAAGTCCAGGGCGCCCCCCTCGCGCCCTAGACTAACTTGTCCCTGCGTGTGCTGGACCAACATTCAGGGCGCCCCCCCTCCCGCCCTAAATGTGTCATTTCGCGTGTTGGGCCAAAGTCTACGCCTGCTGAGCGAAAGTCCAGGGCGCCCCCTCCCACCGTAGACTTTTCGTTGCGCCTGCTGGGCCAAAGACTGAAGGGGTCTCCTTTGGGCGGTCTTTCGGCGTCTGGTGGGTGTCTGGAGCCTCTTGGGGCTCCCGTGGGGCCGCGGAGCCGATCAGCCGCCCTCCTGACCGATGAAAGTCTGGCGCCTGGGCCCAACAGGGGCTTCCAGGAGCCCCGGAAACCCCAGGAGACCTTCTGCAGGGCCTCCAGGGGGCCCTACGGCCACGGTTCCGGAGGATCCCGTTTTGGGGTTCGGGAGTTTCCCCCCCTGGATGGTAAATATATAGAAAGCAATGTGCGTGTGTATATATATAGAGAGAGATTCACACATACGTATGTATATGTGTATTTGTATACATCTATATATAATATAAAAATGTATACTAGAACCGCGCGCGCGCGCTTCGCGCGCTAAGGTTCCGCCCCCACTTCTCCCCCTGAGGCTCATCCACTCCGTCTTCTCTCTAATCCCCTCAAAATACCCCTCTCCTTCCCTGCACTCCTCATCCCCCCTCTCCTGACCTCCGTTCACTCTCCCTTCCCACTTTCCCCTCCCCCTCCTCCTCTAGTTCTGGAAGCAAATGAACTGGATCCTGCACTGCAGTCTTCTTCCATTGACCGACCGACACCCCTACGGTGCAGACTGGTTCACAAAAAAACACACGAGTGCCGATTCCACATCCCCCGAAATTGTTTTTCAAGCAACGCGTGCAGGAAACAAAAGACCGCCTGTGCGGCTGGCAACATGCCTCGGCACGATCAGCCACGTGAGACGACGTCGCACTGGTAACAAAAATACGCGTCGATGAAAAACTTGTTGAGGAGGAGGAGGACGAGTCGGGGGATGACGTGGAGCTGATGCAGAGGTAGGGGGACACTGAACGGCATGGGACGCTGAGCAGCCCTAAGGTTCTGCGTTTGACTGCACCTGCGAACAAAAAACGCGAAAACACCCACCCATAGCTGGTGACATGCTTCGACACGACCAACCACGGAAGACGACTTCGCACTACCGGCATCTCGACTGGAAACCCAGGGCGCAGGAGGGGGAGCATGTTGAAGGAGGAATGGGTCTCGCGCTAGGTTCTATAGTCGCCTCCGAGGAGGCTTTCAAACAAGCGCAAGATGACTATAGCCTCTCGGGGCGCCTTAGGCTCTTCCGAGGCGCTCTGTACAGCACACTTGACGGGAGTATAACCGAAACAAGCGCAGACGGTGCGTGGCGTCACCAGGTCCAAACAGGAAGACTGCGCTGCGGGAGACTAGGCTGCTCGTCGTGACGGATGAAAAGTGAAGATCTGCATTGGCAGTTCGCCAGACATGCGAGGTTGAAGAGGGACCGCTGACGAGAGCCATCGCTACACAACAAACCAGTTCTCAAGCGCTTTGCCCCCCCCCCCCCCCCTCTAGTGGAGTGTCCGTCTTGGGCCTTCTTTGGCTGTAATTAGAGCCTTGTTGGCGCCCCTTGTTTGGACCGTCTTTGGGGTAATCTTGAGTGCTTCCTGGGCCATCTCGGACGCCATGCCAAGGCCCCCCGGTCCCCCGGTCCCGCCATGCGCTGTCGTGGCCCCCAGCCCAGGGCACCCAGGCATCGTAGACAGGGGGATATATATATATATATATATATATATATATATATACATATATATACATATATATACATATATATATATATACTAGAACCATCGCGCGCGCTTCGCGCGCACTCAGGTTCTAGCCCAGGCCGGGGGGGCGCTGGACGATCTTGGACAACGCTATCAAGCACAGGCGTGCGACGGCATCTGAGGAGCTTCTGGGGTGTTCCGCATGCTTCGTCAACTGGCTATTGGAGGCACCTCTTGGGTGCTTCTTGGGGGGGCGTCTGAGGGTTCCTTGGGGGCATCGGTTCTGCAATCTGAAGCCGTCATTGGCCGTCTTGGCTGCGTGGAGGCCCGACTTGAGGCCACCTGCGGCCAGATTCAGGCAATCCGGAAACCTCCCGGGGGCCTCCTGGAAGCAGTTTTGACGCATCGAAGCTTTTGGGGTCCTCGTCGGACCACTTGGGGGCCTCTTGCAGCCTCCTGTGGGCCTTGTGGGGGGACCGCTATGCTGTTGGGTCGCGTTCCCCTTCTTGGGCCTCTCTTGGGGCTCTTGGGGCCCTCTCGGGCCGTTTTGGGCGCCTCAAGCACCGTCTTGGGGCCCTCGCGGGCCGTCTTGGGGCCCTCTTGGAGGCCTCTTCCTCTATGTGGCAGCGGTATTGGAAGCCTCTTGGGCCGTCTTGAGCATCGGGATGGCAAACGGCAGAAAAAATTAAAACCCGTCAAAGCCCAATCGTAAAACAATGAGTTGTGCCTCTTGGGGCCACCTTGGGAGATCTCTTGGAACCTCATCGGCCCTCTTGGGAGCTTCTTGGGGGCCTCTTGGATCCGATTGGGGGCCTCTGGGGACTTCCCGAGAACCTCTCGGGGTAGAAAGCTCGGATTCTCGGTTCGTATTTCCCTTCTTGGGCCTCTCTTGGGGCCGTCTTAGGGCCCTCTCGGGCCGTCTTGGGCGCCTCAGGCACCGCCTTGGGGCCCTCGTGGGCCGCCCAGGGCCCTCTTGGAAGCCTCTTCGGCTATCTTCGAGCTGTCTGGGAGGCCTCTTCCTCCTCCTCGTCCCCCTCCTCCTCCTCCCACTCCAGCTCTCTCTTCTCCTGATCTTCCTCCTCCTCCTCCTCCTCCTCCTCCTCCTCCTCCTGCAGCGTGTTCCAGAAGGCTCCCGCCGGAACATGCTGTGCACAAGTGCTGTCACTGCTCCCGCCACCGTGCCCTCGGTGGTGGGTCAGAGGCCTCATGGGTGTTGGTTTGGATCTCGTGGTTGGGCTGTCGGGGACGTCGTGAAGGCAGTTGCGTAGCTTCTCGGTAGCCGTTTTGGGACCGTTGTGGGGCCTCCTCGGGGCTGTTTTGTGGCCTCTTTAGGCCTCGGTTGTGCCTCCTGGGTGCCTCTTGGGGGCCTCCTGGGGCCTCTTGGGGGTTCCTTGGGGCGTCCTGGGGCACTCTTCAAGCGGGAGGGTGGGTCGAATTTTGGAGTCGTGGTCCCCCTCTTGGGCGCATCTTGGGGCCGTCTTGGGGCTCTGTTGGGCTGTCTTGGGCGACTCTGGGGCCGTCTTGGGGCCCTCTTGGGCCGTCTTGGGGCGCCCTTGGGGGCCTATTGAGCCGTCTTGGAACGTCGGACAGCCGAAAAGGCTGGAAGGCCAAAATCGTTCGAAAACCTCGTAAAATTAATGATTTCGGCCTCTTGAAGCGCTCTGGAGAAGCGTCTTGAAGCGTCGTGGAGTGCCTTGGGGTGCCTCTCGGGCCGTCTTGGGCCTATCTTGGGCGTCCTTGGGCGGTCTTTCGGCGACTCGGGGCCCGCTTGGGCCGTCTTGGGAGCCTCTGGAAGCCCTCCTGGACTATTTTGGACCTCCCCGGCCGCCCCGTCCTCCCATGGGGGGTTCGGAGGCGGCGGCCTCCGAGGCCCAGGACGCGGAAACCCTTTAAAAACACAGTGAAAATGAGCCCCGGTACCCCCATGGAGGCTCTTCGGCGCTCTTGAACAATTGGAAGCTCGAAAACGCGAGAAGCCAAAAATATTGAAAAGACCATTGGACATATACGACTTTGGCCTCTTCGGGCTGTACCGTGATACCTATCAGACTTCTTGGGGTCTCTTGGAGGCCACCTGGGAGCCTCGAGAGCCGTCGGAAGGCTGACTTGGGCTGCTCGGGAGCGTCTTGGGCCATCCTTTCGCATTCTGGGGGCTCCTGGGGGGCGTCTTGGGCCCTCCTGGAGCGCTGTGGAGGCTGCCCGGAAAGGCTGGGGCAGCGGTGCCAGGAACGTCCCCGAGATGTGGCCATATCTTCCAGCGCGTTCCGGGAGCATCTTCCCGGAACGCGCTCGTGGCAGGGCGCCCACGTCCGAGGACGTTGGCATGGGAAACCGCAGCGCGTGATCATTCCAGCTCGTTCCGGCGAAGACCGTCTGGAACGCGCTTGGGCAAGCGCTAGGTTTGGGGAAGGCGAGTGGGAACCGTTCAGGCAGTTTGGGATGCTCGGGGCAAGAGGCGGAAGCCATCCTCATAAGACATGCAGTCTTCCTGGAGCCGTCTTGCAGAAAACACAGGAAAAATGAGACCCTGCAGTCGTTCCTGGAGCCGTCTTGGAGCCCTCTTGGGCTGCCCTGATGCCTGTTGGAGCCCTCTGCGGAATGGTCTTGGAGCCCGCGCCGAGGATCTGGAAAATGTCCGGGACCATCGCGGCGGCCTCCGAGGCCCGGGACGCCGAAACCCTGTAAAAACACAGCGAAAATGAGCCCCCGTACTCCCATGGAGGGTCGGGCAGCTGTTTTCGTGCCCCTGGGCTAGAACCGTCGCGCGCGCTTCGCGCGCGCTCAGGTTCTAGCCCAGGCCGGGAGGGTGCTGGACGATCTTGGACAACGCTATCAAGCACAGGCGCGCGACGGCATCTGAAGAGCTTCTGGGGTGTTCCGCATGCTTCGTCAACTGGCTATTGGAGGCACCTCTTGGGTGCTTCTTGGGGGGGCGTCTGAGGGTCCCTTGGGGGCATCGGCTCTGCAATCTGAAGCCGTCATTGGCCGTCTTGGCTGCGTGGAGGCCCGACTTGAGGCCCCTGCGGCCAGATTCAGGCAATCCGGAAGCCTCCCGGGGGCCTCCTGGAAGCAGTTTTGACGCATCGAGGGCACTCTTGGGCTACTTTAAAGCCTCTTGGACGTCTCCTAGGGGCCTTTTAGGCCCTCGGGAAGCTTTTGGGGTCCTCGTCGGACCACTTGGGATTCTCTTGCGGCCTCCTGTGGGCCTTGTGGGGGGACCGCTCTGCTGTTGGGTCGCGTTCCCCCTCCTGGGCCTCTCTTGGGGCTCTTGGGGCCCTCTCGGGCCGTCTTGGGCGCCTCAAGCACCGTCTTGGGGCCCTCGCGGGCCGTCTTGGGGTCCTCCTTTTTTGGGAGGGGGGGATGACTTGCCCCTGGCGACTCGTCGGCATGGCTTGCATGACAATTTTTAATTCTTTCGGGGTCATCTGAGGGTCAGCCCGAGGCAAGGTTACTAACCGCCGCCGACGAACCAACAGCCAGGACTGCGAGCGACAGCAGGAAAATGAGAGCGTGTAGAGCAGTGCGGGAGTAGCTCGTGGAAGGGAATGTCAAATGGTGCAGGACGAGAGGCAGCATGAACACTAGGAAATTGGAGGTCAGAGACCCCAGCAAAGATACGATGTCCTCGAAGGATGGGAACTGGTATGCCGCGTAGACGACGGCGCAGACCAGCGCAACTCGCAACGACCTTGAGTGTGCGCCAGCGAGCGTCGAGTCCTCGATAAATTTGGCCGCTGGAAGGAGCACCACTGGCAACGCCGCTACGAAATGCAGAGTCAGTCCACATACGGCTGCCGTGCGTAGCAGTGATGCATCGAGGCTGTCCAATATGTACGCCTTCACGAGGTAGCCACGCACCCGCCAGCTCGTCGCGACTACCGTCCAAAAGCCCGCCACCATCAGCAGGAAACCTGTCTCGAGCACGCCAGAGAAGCCCGATGGATCGAGCATGTTGCCTTGCACGCTGGGGAATACCGGATGGCCCCCGTACGCCAGAATGGACGTGGAGATTCCAGTCAAGCAATGCGAGGTCCGGAACTCAGGCCGATGGGCGCGCCCGCCTTGCGACGGCCCGCCTGGAGCCGGAGCAACCACTATCAGCACGCCCACCAAGAGCACTGACAGAAAACCGACCAGCGAGGACCCGCTGACGTGCACCAGGTCGGGGCCCAGGGAAATAAGGAAGGCCGCGCACAGGCCCACCAACGGATACCACTGCCAGCTCGGAGCCTCCGCCTGGACCGTGGAGCCCTCGCGCAAGAGCAACAGGTCCAGATTCTTGCAAATCGTGAGCACATAGAGCAGAGCGATGCCCGTCTGGTTGACGGCCAGCATCCACCCAGTGCACCACCACAACCAAGACTTGTCCCTCGACATACCACAAGCCTCGCATAATGACTCGTAAGTGCGGACTTCCTTGCCCAACCGCCAGAAGTGGAGCTGCACTCGGTGCAGCAACCTAGCCATGTAGAAGCTGAGGGCCCCCGCACCCAGGAGGGGTATCCAGAACCAACTCCCCGCGAACAACAGCGCATGGGGCAACGCCAGCATACCCGCCCCAACCGTGAAGCACAGCATGTTCCACAACGCCTCCGAGCGCGAAGAACCGGCTCGCGGCGCAGGAGCCATCGCGGCAGCGCGGAGTGGGATCAGCAAACCACCTCTGGCTACCTCCGTCTGAGCCTTCTCAAGACTTGAGCCAAAATGGCTACGGACCGTCTTGGGGCCCTCTTGGAGGCCTCTTCCTCTATGTGGCAGCGGTATTGGAAGCCTCTTGGGCCGTTTTGGAGCATCGGGATGCCAAAAGGCAGAAAAATTAAAACCCGTCAAAGCCCAATCGTAAAACAATGAGTTGTGCCTCTTGGGGCCACCTTGGGAGATCTCTTGGAACCTCGTCGGCCCTCTTGGGAGCTTCTTGGGGGCCTCTTGGATCCGATTGGGGGCCTCTTGGGACTTCCCGAAAACCTCTCGGGGTAGAAAGCTCGGATTCTCGGTTCGTGTTTCCCTTCTTGGGCCTCTCTTGGGGCCGTCTTGGGGCCCTCTCGGGCCGTCTTGGGCGCCTCAGGCACCGCCTTGGGGCCCTCGTGGGCCGCCCAGGGCCCTCTTGGAAGCCTCTTCGGCTATCTTGGAGCTGTCTGGGAGGCCTCTTCCTCCTCCTCGTCCCCCTCCTCCTCCTCCCACTCCAGCTCTCTCTCCTCCTGATCTTCCTCCTCCTCCTGCAGCGTGTTCCGGAAGGCTCCCGCCAGAACATGCTGTGCACAAGTGCTGTCACTGCTCCCGCCACCGTGCCCTGGGTGGTGGGTCAGAGGCCTCATGGGTGTTGGTTTGGATCTCGTGGTTGGCCTGTCGGGGACGTCGTGAAGGCAGTTTCGCAGCTTCTCGGTAGCCGTTTTGGGACCGTTGTGGGGCCTCCTCGGGGCTGTTTTGTGGCCTCTTTAGGCCTCGTTTGGGCCTCCTGGGTGCCTCTTGGGGGCCTCCTGGGGCCTCTTGGGGGCTCCTTGGGGCCTCCTGGGGCACTCTTCAAGCGGGAGGGTCGAATTTTTGAGTCGTGGTCCCCCTCTTGGGCGCATCTTGGGGCCGTCGTGGGGCTCTGTTGGGCTGTCTTGGGCGACTCTGGGGCCGTCTTGGGGCCCTCTTGGGCCGTCTTGGGGTGCTCCTGGGGGCCTATTGAGCCGTCTTGGAACGTCGGACAGCCGAAAAGGCTGGAAGGCCAAAATCGTTCGAAAACCTTCATAAAATTAATGATTTCGGCCTCTTGAAGCGCTCCGGAGAGGTGTCTTGAAGCGTCGTGGAGTGCCTTGGGGGGCCTCTCGGGCCGTCTTGGGCCTATCTTGGGCGTCCTTGGGCGGTCTTTCGGCGACTCGGGGCCCGCTTGGGCCGTCTTGGGAGCCTCTGGAGGCCCTCCTGGACTATTTTGGACCTCCCCGGCCGCCCCGTCCTCCCATGGGGGGTCGGAGGCGGCGGCCTCCGAGGCCCAGGACGCGGAAACCCTTTAAAAACGAGCCCCGGTCCCTCCCATGGAGGGTCGAGGCAGCTGTTTTCGGGCCCCAGGCCTGCTCCCCCGGGATGTATATACTGGAGCCATCGCGCGCGCCTCGCGCGCGCTCAGGTTCTAGTTGAGGTCACCGCTCAGGTGCGATGCCCGCGACGATTCTTACCACGAAGACGGCGGCGTGCACCCCGCTCATGTTCGCACGCCATGTTCCGTAGGAGCGTTCCCGGAGCATGGGGCGCCACAGGCTCCCCCGCTCTTCCCCCCTCCCGGACTATCCTGCCGAGGAACTCTTGGGTTGCGTAGGGCTGGTCTTGCGGGCTCCCTGGGGCTCTCTGGGCCCGCCTAGGGCTGTTTGGGAGCGGACCTGGAGGCGCGCTGGGCCCTAGTGGAGAGTCGGAAAGCCGAAAAGACTTGAAGGCCCAAATCCTCCAATTCCGACGTAAAATGAACGATGTTGGCCTGTTGGGGCCCTCTTGGGGGTGCCCGTGGAGGCGTCTTGAGCCATATTTGAAGCCTCTTGGGAACTACCTGGGGCCTCCTGGGGCTCTCTTGAGGCGGAAGCCCTGGGTTTTCCGGACGCGGTCCGTCTCTTGGACACCTCTCGGGCCTGTTTTGGGGCACTCGTGGGCTGCCCTGGGCGCTTCTTGGGCCAGCCTTGGGCTCTCCGGGACCGCCTCGGGGCGGCCTTGGGCGCTTCTGGAGCTGTTTGGGGGCGGTCTCGGAGGCCTCCTGGACTGCCTAAGAGCGTCGGACAGCCGCAAAGATCGGAAGGCCAAAACCCTTCCAAAACTATTGTAAAACCATCAATGTTTGGCCTGCTGGGGCCCTCGTGGGAGTGCTCTTGGAAGCGTTTGGAGCCATACTGGGGGACTCTTGGGAGCTCCCTGGGGCCTCCAGGGTCACTGTTGAGGCGGGAGTCCTGGGTGTTCGGTACGCGGTCCCTCTCTTGGGCCCTTCTTGGGTTTGTTTTGGACCCTTCTTGGGCTGTTGTGGGCGCTTCTTGGGCCAGCCTTGGGCTCTCCGGGACCGCCTTGGGCTTGTCTTGGGGGCCTCTGGGGCTGCTTGGGGGCGGACCTGGAGACCTCCTGGGCCGTCTTGGAGCGTCGTACAACAGAAAAAAACAGAAGGCCAAAATCCTTCCAAAACCGTCGGAAAACCATCTATTTTGGCCTCCCGGGGCTCTCTTGGGAGTGCTCCTGGAAGCGTCTAGAGCCATGTTGGAGGCCTCCCGAAACCTCTACCACGTGCTTCGGCGACATGGGTCGAAGATGGGAACCATTCCTGGTGCAGAAACATCACCAGGGTCCGTCCAGAGCCGCTCGGGAAACGCCCCGGAGCGGCTCTGGAGAGGCCCCCGGGGGGGGATCCCCCCCTGGCGAGTCGAGGCAGCTGGCCAGAGGCCCCCGGCCCCTACCCCGACATATATATATATATATATATATATACACATATACATATACATATACATATACAGATACATATACATATACATATGCATATACATATACATATACATATACCTATACATATACATATACATATACATATGTATGTATATACGTATATATATACACTAGAACCACGCGCGCTACGCGCGCGCTTAGGTTCTAGTCGCAGATGAGCCACGGGTGCCGTTGTAAGCCCAGCTGCGGCCACAACGACGATTTCCAGCGTTCCCGGGTCCATGCCATAAACGCACAGAAGCGCGTAGTCAGAACGCGGGGCGCCACGTTCCCGCGCACCTCACAACCTCACTGCCGCCTTTGCTTGGTTTACTGCGTCTGTTTCCGTCTTGGCCGTCTTGAAGCCCTCTTGGGCTGTCTTTAAGCCATGTTGGATCCAATTTGGAAACGCTCTTGTGCGGTCTTGGGCACTCTTGGAGCGATCTTGGGCCATCTTGGCGCCCTCTTGCCCCCTTTGACGTTTTTTAGCGCCCCCCACCGGGCCCGAAACGGCCAGAAAATAGATCAGTGCACTTTGGGGGGCTTGGGAACCCTATTCATGTATGTATGTATGTATGTATGTATGTGTATATATATATATATATATATAGAACCATCGCGCGCGCTTCGCGCGCGCGAGGTCTAGCTAGGTTTGATCGGCCAACTCATGTAATCTCATGTTGGTCGCTTCCTGCGTCCAGGGACTCCCTTGGAGGCCCTGCGCAAGCCTCGGAATCGTGTAGAAGGGGAAATGCGGAAACGCAGAAATCATTAGTTTGTTTCCTTTCAGGTATTCAACGATCTGGGGCCCTCAAAGGCTTCCTGGGTTTTTCTTGGGGAGGTGAGGGGGTCTGAATTGTGGTCTGTTGTGCAAGAGTAGATCAGGGGCCAAACTTGAAAAAAAAAAAAAAAAAAAAAACATGTGGAATTTCCATGTTTTTTCAGTTCCTCGGCGCTGTTCGGCGCTGTTTGTTGTTTGTGCCTCGCGGGTTTTGTTAGCCCGGCCCCTCAGGGATGTGGGTTCTTCTGGACCCCCTGGGGGTTCTAGAGGCCTCCTGGAGGCCTGGAGAGCCGTCGGAAGGGTGTCTCGGGCTGCGCGGGGGGAGCGTGTTGGGCCATTCTTTACGTTCTGGGGGCTCCTTGGGGTCGTCTTGGGCTGTCCTTGGGCGTCTTGGGGGCCCCCCAGGAAGCCAGGAGGCGCGGTACCGGCCAGATGTCAAGGGATGTGCGGGATCTCCGAGTCGGAGTCCCACTTTGAAAAAAAAACGGGAATTCTGGGAATTCCCTTTTTCCCCCAAAAAAATCCTCAATCTTCGAGGGCTAGAAGCGGGAAAACGTCAGAGGGCGAAAAACATTAGAAAAAGTCATTGGAAATCAACGATTTGTACAGTCTTTAGGCTCTCTCGGGACGGCTCTCGCAGCTCTCTTGGGCTGTTCTTGGAGCCTCGTCGGGTCTTTTTGGGGCCTCTCAGCCCCTGGGGGGTCCGGAGGCCTCTCGGAGGTCGCTGGAAGCCTCCTGCTCTCGCTCTTGGGCCCATTTTGGGTCCTCGTCTTTTTCCTCTTGCCTCTCCTACCGCCCTTTGGAAATTCTCCTCCTCATCCTTCTTCTCCTCCCCCTCCTAGACCCTTCGATCAGGGTCGGCGGCACCGGCCGTCAGGCCTCTCCACTAGTGCTACGAGGCGCCCCACGAAAGCCCTCCAGAAGCAAAGACCGTTCCATTCCCTATGGAAAACGTACATTTTCAGCACATTCGCCTTTTGGGCTTCCACGCTGCCCACAACGGCCCAAGAAGCCTCCAAGATCGACCCTCCGCTGCCCAACGGACTCCCGAAAAGGCTCCACGACGGCTTCCAGGCGATCCACGAAGGCTCCAGAAACCATAGCAACGGCCCGGAAGACGCAGGACGGTCCCAAGAGGTCTCCAAAACGGGTCAACAGGGCCCCCAAAGGCTGCCCAGAGGGCCCACGCGGGGGACGATTCGGTCCAAGCCGCCCAAGATTGCCCCCAGACGGCCCCATAGGCCCCCAAGACGTTTGAAAACGCGTCCACGCGGCGCTCCAAAGGGCCTCGAGAAGCAAAAACCGGCCCATTCCCGAAAGAAAACACATATTTTCAGTACGTTCGCTTCTTGGGCCCCCACGAGGCCTACAACGGCCAAGCGACCTGTGCAACATTAGAAACAGTCATTGGAAATCAACGATTTGTACAGTCTTTAGGCTCTCTCGGGACGGCTCTCGCAACTCTCTTGGGCTGTTTTTGGAGCCTCGTCGGGGTCTTTGGTGCCTCTCAAGGATCGGGGGTGTGCTGGGGGCCTCTGGGGGGTCCCGGAGGCCTCTCCTCTCGGAGGTCGCTGGAAGCCTCCTGCTCCCGCTTTTGGGCCGATTTGGGGCCTGTTCTGGGATAGTCTGAGGCTGTCCTGGGGGCCTCTTCGGCAGTCTTGGAGCCTTCTTGGCTCGCCTTGGGGCCGTCCTGCGGGTCTCTTGGGTGGTCTTGGGGCGGTCTTGGGAGCCTCTTCGGCGCTCTTGGACCATTCGAAGCTCGAAAACGCGAGAAGCCAAAAACATAGAAAAAACAATTGGAAATCGACGATTTGGGCATCTTCGGGCCATCCCCGGACGCCTCTCGGACCTCTCTTGGGGTCCCTTGGAGGCCACCTCGGAGCCTCGAGAGCGCCGTCCGAAGGATCATCACTTGGGCTGCTTGGGAACATATTTGGGCCATCCTTTCGCATTCTGGGTGCTCCTGGGAGGCGTCTTGGGCCCTCCTGGGGCGCTGTGGAGGCTCCCCGGAAAGGCCTCTTGGGTTCCTGGGGGGGCGTTCTTGGGCGGTTTGGGCGCCTCGTGGGCCGTCTTGGCCTCCTCGTGGGCCGTCTTGGGGCCCTCTTGGGGGCATCCTCGACCGGCTTGGGTGCCTCTTGCGCCGTCGTGGACGCAGCCAAAAATATCAGTTTTACCATAGGAACTCTACGATGTTTGCTTATTGGGCCACTCTCGGGGGGCCTCTTGGGGCGTCTTCGGAGCCTCTTTTGATGATTTGTCGGGTCTCATGGGGGCCTCTTGGGACTTCTGGGCCCCTTCTTGGAGCCTCTTGGGGTCTCCTGGGGGTCTCTTGGGCCAAAAGGCCTGGATTTCTGGTTCCTCGTCCCCGTCTTGGGCGCCGCCTTGGGGCGTTCTTGGGCGGTTTGGGCGCCTCGTGGGCCGTCTTGGCCCCCTCTTGGGCAGTCTTGGGGCCCTCTTGGGGGAATCCTCGACCGGCTTGGGTGCCTCTTGGGCCGTCGTGGACGCACAAGAACGCCCCAAAGGCAAACACGCCAAACAGATCAGTTTTCCCATAGGAACTCTACGACTTCTTGGGCCTCTCTCGGGGTGCCTCTTGGGGCGTCTTCGGGGCCTTGGGGGGCCTTCTTGGCGTCATGGGAGTTGTCTTGAAAGGCGTCTGGAGCCATCGCTGCGGCCTCCTGGGGCCTCCCTGCAGCCTCTTGGGACCCTGTTGGCCCCGGGTCGCCGAACCCCGGTAAAAACACCGGGAAAGCGACGCCTGCTCCCCCCATGCCCTGTCGAGGTCGCGGTCCCAGGCCCCCGGTCCTCGCCCCCCGGGGCATATATATATATATATATATATATATATATATATATATATATGTATATGTATATGTATATGTATATGTATATGTGTATATATATATGTGTGTGTGTGTGCGTGTATATTGCACAACGATGGCCGGCACTGTTTTGTAGATGCAAACGCCTCGCTCCGAGGCAGTGAAATAAAGAGGCGCCTCTCCGCCCGCATGCTTCAAAGTATTATGCAAAGGTTGGTGGAGGGGAGGACGAGGAAGAACTTGAGCAGAAATGGGTGCGGAGTGAACTCCGTCCCCCTGCATTCCAGACATTCATGCTGCACGCGGACTGGCTGGACTCTGGGGGCTCCATTTAGCGGCCAGCGGGAGCACACAACACAGTTTAGAAAACCCAGCCTGTGATGCACAACGATGGCCAGCACTGTTTTGTAGATGCAAACGCCTCGCTCCGAGGCAGTGAAAGAAAGAGGCGCCTCTCCGCCCGTTCCCGTACTATGCACTGGCCGTGGCCGATTTCCAAAAAGTCTAGAGAGATATACCAGCGAGCCTGCGGAGATTCGAATCGATGATAGCCTCACTTGAGGCGACGAGCCAGCGAGCGATTGATGAGGCCACCGTCGTTGGATACTTCTCGGCCATCGCGGTGCGTCGAACAGACGCGTTCTCCCCAGCCCCTTCCAGGATCCAGTGAGGCCGAAGGGTGGCCGAGCACTTCCCTTTGAGACCTGTACACCGCTTCAAGAGGGCCTGGGGGGGTCTATGACATTCCAGGCGGCAAACCGTGTCCTCTTTCGATACGGTTTGCCATGCTGGCAAAAATCGGCGACCGCAACTTTACACGCCCGATGGGAGAGCAGAGCCGCCAGAGGAGGGGCCTGCCAGGCCCGAGAGCTATGAGGATTCTCGGCGACGACGGGGATCCCGTGGCTCAAGCAAGCTCGAATGGCCCGCACGGTGCCAAGGAGGGTCGAACTGCCGATCAAAACTTTGCGAAGCGACTCGGGGCCCAGGCCGGGTTTCCCGAACACGTCTCTGGCGTTTCTAAAGAAATTGCGGGTAGCCGAGGACCAGGTCGAGCATGGGAAAGCGACGCACACGCCTCTGACTAGGCCGGCGCCGATCCATCCTACGATAACGTCCCAGGCGGCTTTCCGTCATAATGGACAAAGGTCCAAAGCTGGATTATCTTTCACATCGATCCTGAGACAGGCGAGGCTCGAAAATCTCTGAACACTGGCGGCCAAGCCGCCTGCGCCTGCAAACAAATCCAAGAACACTTGATTGCGCTGGCTGCGCTTGAGGCAATCCTGCAGCGCTGTATGCAGGTGCCTCTTCACGCTCGCAGCCGGCAACGGTGACTGGGCCTGGGCGGCGTCGCCTCGCCACCAGACCTCGCCCGCGCCGAGGCGCTCGCGGCGCCCGGCGGCGCGGGGGGCCGCCGGCGGCCCTCCACCAGCTCGACCCACCGCGGCAGCAGGAGCCTGCCGTAGTCGGCGATGCCCTGGGGCAGGCTGGCCACCTCCACCCAGTAGCGAGCGTGCCTCTCGCACCTCTTGGCGCGGCGGCTGTCGGCATGTCTGAGTCGACGCTGCACCGCAGCAAGGTCGCGGACGCCGGTGGCCACGTCGAAGCTGGCCGCCCCGTGCCTGAGCTGGTAGGCGCGCATGCTGGCCATCCCTGCCAGCTCCGCCAGCCGGGCGAACTCCGCTCGGAAGTGGCCGGCGTTGAAGCTCCAGAGCTGGCCGCCTCTGGGCACCCGCTCGCGCAGCGCCGCCAAGGCCCCCCCCAGGTTCTCGGAGACAGGGTCGTCGAGCAGCATCCCCTCGTCGACGCCTCCCGTCTTGCTCACCACGCCCAGCTCCCCGGGGCACAGCAGCAGCCCCCAGCGTCGGCCCCCGATCGAGGGCGGCGGCGGCACCAGCGACTCGCGCACCATGGCCACCAGGTCCGACGGCAGCCGAAGGCACGCGTGCCACGCCACCGTCAGCGCGAGCGCCATCTCGAGGCGCCCGCTCCAAGCCGCCGCGCCGACCAGCGCCAGGAGGCCCTCCCGCGGCAGCGGGGCCCGCGCCTGGCCCGGCGCCCGCTTGCGGAAGCCGGCGACGGCGTCCCGCGCGCGCGGCAGCAGGTCCTGCCCGCGCTGCCGCAGCTCGGGCCTCTCGAGGAGCATCGCGGCCAACAGCTTGTCGCCCGCGTCGCGGTTGAAGCAGTCGAAGAACTTCTCGTCCAAGGACTCCGCCAACGCCGCGTCCAGCTCGGGCAAGCTCCGCGCGGCCGTCCTCGAACGGCGGCGCCAGGCATCGAACTTCTCCAGCGCTGCCTGGCACTGCTTCTGCACCGCCGTCGAGACCCGGCTCAGCTCCAGGAACGCGCGGCCCCGTGCCCGCGCCTGCCCACTCAGCGCCGTGAATTTCCTCTTCCGCGCCTGAGCTCGCACAGCTCGGGCCGCCTGAGCCCGAGCTCTGGCCCCCGAACTCGGCAGGGGTGCCGTCGAGCTCGAAGTCGCGGCAGCCGCTCGAGGCCGAGCTGGAAGAGTCGCCCTCCTCGTCAGCGGCGGGGCCAGGGGCGCCCAGCGGCGCAGCTGCGTTGACCGGCTGCCAGAGGCCTGCAGGCTCGCCCTGAGGCCCGCCCAGCCAGGGCCCGCTCTCGCCCGCCCTGGCCGTAGCAGACTCCCCGTGGCGCTCGACGATGTAGGCGTCGATGGCCTCGTCGAGCGGGCTCCACTGGTCGGCCGCCGCTGCATGAAGAGGCACGCCGAACCAGGCGGAGCGCGGGCCCCGAAAGGCACCGAGCCCGACCGCTCCGGGAAAACGAAACGGAGCATCGGCAGGATTGAACTCACTCGGGATCCATCGGCTGGAGATGCGAATATTCCCTGCGATGCTCAGAGCAAGCAACTCCCGGCACGTACGATTGATGCCGAAAGCGGACGACCCCCCCTTCCCCACGCTCAACACGACCCCCATGTTGTCCACCAAAAACAGATGGTGCTGATTCCTCGACGACAGATTTCTCAGACAATGGCGGACGCCGAGCACGAGCGTTCGGCCCTCCGTGCGCCCGATGTCCTGCTGCCAGGCCCAGCGCCCTCTCACCACCAGCTGCCAGTCGCGGGGCTGCCCGATGAGCTCGCGGCCGACCGCCTCGAAGTCCGCCCCCCCCCGTCGGGCCTGGCGAGGCCGGCGGCCAGGAGGCGGTGGTAGGCCCAGGGCGGCCTCGCGGGCCGCGACCTCCTCCCCGACGCGGCACCTCCACTTCTCGGAGGCGGACGCCGTGGACACGACGTCCGCGGGCTGCCGCGCCCGCCTGACCACGCCGTAGCTGCCGTAGTCCCCGTCGGAGCCGCCCGACGCGCCCGCGGCGTAGACCACGTCTGCGCACGGCATCCTGGTCGCCACCTCCGCGAGGCACACGAGCGAGGCCGCGAGGCGGAACTCCGTCTCCACTGAGCCCCACATCCGCCAGCGTCGGGACCCGGCCTTGCCCATGAAGCGGTACACCGCGCTGAACACGGCCAGGAGCTCGCGCCGGAGGATGGCGGCCCACGCGACGCGCCCCACCAGGCGGCGCAGCTGCGTGCCCGAGATGGAGCCCAATTCCGCGGCGCGCAGGAGGGCCAGCCTCAAGCGCCACAGCCTCTTGCGAGACAAGCTGGTCTTGCCCGAGGCGGCGTCGAAGGTGAGGCCTGCGAAGCTCTGCATCTCGCACGGCGGCACCACTCCCTTCGCGATGAGCCCGCGCCGCATCAGCTCAACGCCCACCTTCTCGCACCCCCTCAGCGCCAGCCCCCTGCCCCCACTGAAGACCGCGACGCCGTCGACGTAGATCCCCGCCGCCGTGGTCGTCTCCGTGAGCTTCGCGACCCTGCACCCATCCTGGATGAGCTGGCTGGGCTGGAAGCCGACGGAGAACACCGCGTCCTCCACCATCTTCTGGCAGAAGTAGAGGCTCCACGACCAACCCATTGGCAGGGCCCGCAGCAGCGGAGACACGTAGCTGCCAGCAGGCAACACGTGAGCCAGCTCGGGCGCGATGGACAGCCAAGCTTGGCGACTGAGCCGAGGTAGAACGAAATGCTCATGCAGACCAGGCGGGAGTCGAATGCGATAGAAAGCGTTGGAGATGTCCAGCTGCGCCATGTGGAGGTCGCAATTGTCGTCCAACTGCACGCCCTGCCACGCTCCCGCGGTAGGTAGCTGCGTGCAATCGGGTTCTCTGAAGCGTTGGTTGCACTTCCGAGTGTCAAAATCAGGCGCAAGGCGCGCCCCTCGTCTTTGCTAACGAAAAACACTCCCACTGTGTGCTCCCGTATCTCGCCGAAACTGATGAGCCCAGCTCTGAAGATATCAAGAATGAAGGTAGCATAATGACTCGAAGACCTGATCAGCGTTGGATCTGAGTAAGGAATGACACCACCACATGTCACCATCTCTGTTCGCAAGAGGCATGAGCGCCAACCCAACCACTGACTCAAGACCTCGCCCGACAAGTTATCCTCACCTTCAGTGAAGGGGCCGTCGGCAGGTAGCGCGACCTTGTCGCGCTGGTAGGGCATGTGTTTGGCGGCCACGTCGCCGTAGCCGGGGTCGGACCCGCACAGCGCATCGAAGGCTGTCGCGGGCGTCTCGTCAGGGGCTCCGAAGGACTTGACCACCTCTGCGAAGTGGCGGACGGCCTCCGTCTGCGCCTGGGACGGGTGATGAAGCTCCTTTGGCTCCGCATTGACTGAATAGAGTGAGTTGACGGCCTGGCAGATCTCTTTCTCCCAGTCCTCACAAAAAGCCTTTCGGCGGAGACGTGACCTCACGGAGCGGGGAACTCCCTGCGGCCGCGCCGAGAGCGCCCCTGGCTCTCCCATTGGAAGGGGGGGGAGCTCACAGGGCACCGGCATCGTCGCGAGAAGGTCAGCTGCCCTGGCCGCCGCCGCGCTCGCCCCCCTTGCCTTTCTTCGGGTCCGAGTGGGGTGCTGAGCGCGCCTGCAGCCTCTTCAACCCCTCTGCCTGTGTCTAAACCTTCCGCTGGAGCTCAACCGTCGAACTACCAATGCCCGACTGCTACGGAGCCCACCGCGCAATCAATCGTTATTATTTCAACTTCCGTCTCTCCTTCATAATCAAGTGCTCACGATGAACTTCCGATGATACGTGCTCCTGCAAGGCCGGGGCCACCATGACGTGGCCCCGCGTCTCGCCAGATCCCATGCGCAAGTGCTTCTCGTCGGCGCACTCGTCGTCTAGGCCGCTCGCCCCGCCAGTCAGTCGATCCTTCTGTCGCCATTCTGACAATTGAGCTCGTCGGCAAAAGATCTCAAAGCACGCCAACTCTGTGATATTCAGCTGGCCGTAAACCACGGCCGTCTCGATCACACGCATGACGAGTTCGTGGTCGCCGACCCCAGGATCCCCCCGGGCCAGGCGTGCTTCGTGCTTCCACTTCGTGTGCCTGGCCCGGGGGATCGCGCCCTGCTCCCGAATGAACTGGAGCACCCACTGCACGGTGCGAGGCCCGAGCACGGGCCACCCGGGCCAGGCGGTCTCTGTCATGGCGTCGACCGCCGACCTGAAGTCCCGCCGCCGGTTCCCGTGCGCGTCCTCCTCAACAGGCAGCACGCGGGCGTCCAGCTCCGAGCTCCCGTCCGTGGCGGAGTCCACCTTCTTCAGCACTAGCAGCTCCGTCCCTCGCATCGCGAGGGCGTACAGCTCAGTCACGAGGGCCCAGTCCACCGCCGAGCCGCTCAGCACCTTGTGAGTGGGGGTCGACTCCGAGGCCGCGAGCACACGCCAGTACCATGGCTTCACATCCCTGAGACTGTCGAACTCGAGCGTGACCTCAGGCGGAATCGGTATCGAATCCCCAGCTGCCGGACCCGTTGGTAGTGCCTGCTTGCCTCGAAGGCGACGGGCGGCGGAGTGACCCCCCGCTCGCTCGGCCTCCGTCACGGCGTCTGAGAACTCCAGGGGGTCCGGCATCCACTCGCTGCCGTACGTCTTGCTCGACATTCGGTAGATCTTGCCTCGAGCCTCCACGACGTCGCCCGTCGACCCGAAGACCGCGATCCCCGCGAGGAACGGGACGTCCAGTAGGTGCGCGTAAATGTCCCCGTCTGGTGTGAGGCACATCCACGCTCTCTTCTCATTCATCTGATCTGGAGTTGGATCCACTTCCAGATCCTGCTTCACGACGCCAGCGGCGGCCTCTGCGAGCAAGAGTCGGAACTGCCAAGGGTCGCCCACGGACAACAGGATGGCCACCCGCATTGCCCGTCTCAAGACGGCGCTCGCAGACATGACTGGTGCAGGTGACACAGCAGCTCCCGCACGCGAAGCCGACCACCAGTCCGACGGACAGCAGCAGCACGCCGAGGGGGCCCAGGCCACCGAAGACGCGGCCCACGAGCACGCAGTCGGGCGCAGACCCCAGCTGCTCCACTATCGCCGGCACCGACGCGAGAGCAAACTCTGCGGCCCGCGAGCTGAGGAAACTCGCGCCGCGGCCGAAAACACTCAAGACGTTGGAAATCATGCACGGCCGCATGAAAAGAGCTTGAGCAGAAATGGATGCGGAGTGAACTCCGTCCCCCTGCATTCCAGACATTCATGCTGCACACGGACTGGCTGGACTCTGGGGGCTCCATTTAGCGGCCAGCGGGAGCACACAACACAGTTTAGAAAACCCAGCCTATATATCTATATATATATACACACACCTGTGCACATTCGTGTGTCCTGGAATAGTTGCGATGAAGTGAGCACTGTGGGATTTGAGGACGCAACAGGTAGGCAGAGGCTGGCAACTTCAAGAACTGGAGCGCAGTGCATCCCCATGCAGCCCGAGAAGCAGAGACGCCAATACAAAGAGCGGGCGGGAACGACCCAATCCTAGAACGAGGGGTACGGATGACATACGGAGCTCGAGAGAATCAAAAAACGGCTGCCATTAGCAAGCAAGGAGCACCGCCAGCAGTGGCAGGCATTCGACTTGCCGTGCTCTGCCCAAAAAGGAATAAGCCCCCAATGACGCCCCCAAGAGGCCCCAAGATGTCCCCAAGACGCCCCCAGTGTCCCCAAGATGCCCCCCATAGACGCCCAATGCCGCAGGAGGATCCAATAACGCCCCCATGAGGCCCCATCATGCCCCAAAGAGGCCCTCAGTAGACCCCCAAGAGGCTCCCCCAGAGAGCACAAGAGGCATCCTAGAGGCATTTTGTCCAAGATCCGGAAAGGTTGGCACGATGGGCCGAAGGCCACTAGATATGCATTTGGATTCGAGCTCGGCCGGATGCTGACAAGCACTTGAAAGTCAAGCGTGAAACAGTTACCGCACGGACGCAGTTGTATCACCATGCCTCCTCCCTGGTGGCGATCATGATGGAAATGCTGATGGTGACTGTCGTGGTGATGCTACGACGATGGTGATAGCCCTGACGCTGCACACTGATGTAATAGACCCCCGGGGAGCACGTACGCATGTGGAACGCCATGGGCGTGCCCTTCAGCTTTGGCGGTGGGCGCCGCCGCTGCTCTGGCGAGCGCCAGCTGCTTACGGTCCTGCAAGGGGGGGGAGGGCGGGAGAAGGGAGGGTGAGGATCAAAACAAGGATTTCAAACAAATCGGATAAACAAACCGGAGTTTTGAAATTCTAGTTGGTCGCATAGATACCGCAGCCCCGAGCTGGGCCGGATAACAAAACTAGGAATTGTAAAAGCAAGAACCGAAGCCACGACGCAGCATGTAACAAAACAAGGCTTCTTCTAGCAACTACGCGCCACGAATCATTGCGGTCGTGCTGGGCGGTCGTGCTGGCGGGTTGTGCTGGGATTTGTGCTGCGGGGTCGTGCTGGGGGGTTGTGCTGAGGGATCGTCCCAGGAGATTGTGCTAGGGGGTTGTGCTGGGGGGATGTGCTGGGGTCTGTGCTGGTGGTTGTGCTGTGGGGTTGTGCTGGGGGTCGTGCTGGTGGGTTGTGCGGGGGCGGTTGTGCTGGAGGGGATATGCCAGGGGGGGGGCTTGGGTGTTGTGCGGTGGGATTGTGCTGGGGGGTTGTGCTGGGGGGTTGTGCTGGGCTGTTGTGCTGCAGGGTTGCGCGGTGGGGCTGTGCTGGGGGGGGGAACAGCGGGGTTATGCTGGGGGTTGTGCTGGGGGGTTGTGATGGGGGTTTGTGCTGGGGGGTCATGCTGGGAGTTGTGCTGGGGGCTCGTGCAGAGACGATTATCCCGTGGGGTCGTTCTGGGGGGATGTGCTGGGAGGTTGTGATCGGGTGTTGTTCTTGGGGTTTGTGCTGGGAGTTTGTGCTGGGGAGTTGTGGTGAGGTGTTGCGCTGGGGGGGGGTGCTGGGGGGTTGTGCTGGGGGGTTGTGCTGGAGGGGTTGTGCTGGAGGGTTGTGCTGGGGAGTTGTGCTGGGGGGTCATGCTAGGAGTTGTGCTGGGGGGTTGTGCTGGGGGGTCGTGCTAGGGGGTCGTGCTAGGGGGGGTATGCCAGTGAGCTGGGCTGGGGGGGTGCGCTGGGGTGTTGTGGTGGGGGGTTGTGCTCGGGGTTGTGCTGGAGGGTTGTGCAGGGGGGTTGTGCAGGGGGGTTGTTGTGCGGTGGGGTTGTGCTGGGGGTGTTTTGCCTGGGGGGGGGTTGGGGATTGTGCCGGGGGGTTGTGCTGGAGGGTCGTGCTGGGGGTATGCGTAGGGTGGTTTATGCCAGGGGGTTGTGCTGGGGGTTGTGCTGGGGGGTTGTGCTGGGAAATTATGCGGTGGGATTGTGCTGGGGTGCTGTGCTGAGGGGTCGTGCTGGCGGGTTGTGCTGGAGGGTTGTGCTGGGGGTTGTGCTGGGGGGGGGACTGCGGGGTTATGCTAGGGGTGGTGCTGGAGGTTGTGCTGGGGGGTTGTGCTGGGGGGTCGTGCTAGGGCGTCAAAATGGGGGGGTATGCCAGGGAGTTGTGCTGGGGTGGTGCTGGGGGGTTGTGCTGGGGTGTTGCGGTGGGGGGTTGTGCTGGGGGGGGTGCGCGGTGGGGTTGTATTGGGTGGGTTGTGCTGGGGAGTTGTGCTGGAAGGTTTCTGCTGGAGGGTTGTGCTGGGTGGTCGTGTTGGGGGTCGTGGCAGGGGTTATGACGGGTGTGTGTACTGGGGGGTTGTGCTGTGGCGTTGTGCTGGGGTGCTGTGCTGGGGGGTTGTGCTGGGGGGTTGTGCTGGGGGTTGTGCTCGGGGGGTGTGGTGGGGGGTTATGCCGGGGGCTTGTGCTGGGGGTGTTATGCGGGGGGAATTATACTGGGGGTTGATCTGGAGGGTTATGCTGGGGGGGTTGTGCTGGGAGGGGTTGTGCCGACGGGTTGTGCTGGGGGGTTGTGCTGGGGGGTTGTGCTGTAGGGTGTGTGTGTGTGTGCGCTGATCCGCTAGCGCAGACACCCGGCCTTGCCGCCGACACCAAATATGTGTGTGCGAGAGGGTGAGTGTGAGTGTAAGAGTGTAAGTGTGAGTGTGAGAGTGTGAGCGAGTGTGAGTGTGAGTGTGAGTGTGAGTGTGAGTGTGAGTGTGAGTGTGAGCGGGAGCGGGAGTGGGAGTGGGAGTGGGTGTGAGTGTGAGTGTGAGTGTGAGTGTGAGTGTGAGTGTGAGTGCGAGTGCGAGTGCGAGTGCGAGTGCGAGTGCGAGTGCGAGTGCGAGTGCGAGTGTGAGTGTGAGTGTGAGTGTGAGTGTGAGTGTGAGTGTGAGTGTGAGTGCAAGTGTGAGTGTGAGTGTGAGTGTGAGTGTCTGTGTCTGTGTCTGTGTCTGTGTCTGTGTCTGTGTCTGTGTCTGTGTCTGTGTCTGTGTCTGTGTCTGTGTCTGTGTCTGTGTCTGTGTCTGTGTCTGTGTCTGTGTCTGTGTCTGTGTCTGTGTCTGTGTCTGTGTCTGTGTCTGTCTGTGTCTGTGTCTGTGTCTGTGTCTGTGTCTGTGTCTGTGTCTGTGTCTGTGTCTGTGTCTGTGTCTGTGTCTGTGTCTGTGTCTGTGTCTGTGTCTGTGTCTGTGTCTGTGTCTGTGTCTGTGTCTGTGTCTGTGTCTGTGTCTGTGTCTGTGTCTGTGTCTGTGTCTGTGTCTGTGTCTGTGTCTGTGTCTGTGTCTGTGTCTGTGTCTGTGTCTGCGTCTGCGTCTGCGTCTGCGTCTGCGTCTGCGTCTGCGTCTGCGTCTGCGTCTGCGTCTGCGTCTGCGTCTGCGTCTGCGTCTGCGTCTGCGTCTGCGTCTGCGTCTGCGTCTGCGTCTGCGTCTGCGTCTGCGTCTGCGTCTGCGTCTGCGTCTGCGTCTGCGTCTGCGTCTGCGTCTGCGTCTGCGTCTGCGTCTCTGCGTCTGCGTCTGCGTCTGCGTCTGCGTCTGCGTCTGCGTCTGCGTCTGCGTCTGCGTCTGCGTCTGCGTCTGCGTCTGCGTCTGCGTCTGCGTCTGCGTCTGCGTCTGCGTCTGCGTCTGCGTCTGCGTCTGCGTCTGCGTCTGCGTCTGCGTCTGCGTCTGCGTCTGCGTCTGCGTCTGCGTCTGCGTCTGCGTCTGCGTCTGCGTCTGCGTCTGCGTCTGCGTCTGCGTCTGCGTCTGCGTCTGCGTCTGCGTCTTGCGTCTGCGTCTGCGTCTGCGTCTGCGTCTGCGTCTGCGTCTGCGTCCGCGTCCGCGTCCGCGTCCGCGTCCGCGTCCACGTCCGCGTCCGCGTCCGCGTCCGCGTCCGCGTCCGCGTCCGCGTCCGCGTCCGCGTCCGCGTCCGCGTCCGCGTCCGCGTGCGCGTGCGCGTGCGCGTGCGCGTGCGCGTGCGCGTGCGCGTGCGCGTGCGCGTGCGCGTGCGCGTGCGCGTGCGCGTGCGCGTGCGCGTGCGCGTGCGCGTGCGCGTGCGCGTGCGCGTGCGCGTGCGCGTGCGCGTGCGCGTGCGCGTGCGCGTGCGCGTGCGCGTGCGCGTGCGCGTGCGCGTGCGCGTGCGCGTGCGCGTGCGCGTGCGCGTGCGCGTGCGCGTGCGCGTGCGCGTGCGCGTGGGCGTGGGCGCG